ATTCCTAACCCCTGCCTAAAAAAAATTTTTATTTCTTATATAACATTTAATTGGTTACTGACTTAAGATGTGATAAAACTTTATAACTTCGTTAAATGGAAATACCACTTTGTGTTGAAAACTTGATCTCCGATTATATTTTAATCAAAAGAAAAATAAACAAGATAAAATTTAAAAAACTTATGCTTACCCGAATTTAAATTTAAATGTAATATATATATTTTTTAAAGTTTATAATAAATAACATTTGGCGAACAAAATTGGATTAGGAATTATTTATTTATACGATTTGAAAATTATAAGAAACCCAAGGGAGAATTGTGGATTTATGCTTTGGTTTTGCTGTGATTAAGCATGCATGAAGCGATTGTTCTGTTGTCGTTTTTTCCGTTTTTTTTTTTTTAATTAATGAACTAACTTTTGATGTCTGGCCCCTTTCACCCCCTTTTCACACTTCTATCTCGCTGCGCTCTCTAGTTTATATGCGATTATGAATGCAGGCCAACTTTTTTTGGTTGTTGCTCTGGGTGTTTGTTTGTTTGTGAATTTCTGTTTCGTTGGTTTTGCCCCCGTGTTTATGACACTCGACTGGACTAGCGGTTAACATAATTAAACTGGCTGACGGAGGTGAAAAGAAAAATTATGGCAATTACCAAGAATCAAAACGCAACTCGAAAGATATTCGTTTGGTTGAGTGTAGTAAAGTATCTATGACTTCTATAGTAAATTACTTTCCAATAAATATTTCTGAACAAAAATAGATACTTACTTAAAAGAGATTCGTCTGGTTGAGTATAGTAAAGTATCTTCGACTTCTATAATAAATTACTTCCCACTAAAGATTTCAGAACAAAATAATACTATATGCATAAAAAAAGATACAATATCTTTTACTAATACTATCTTAAAAGATATTCGTCTTGTTGATTATAGTAAAGTATCTTGGACTTCTATAATAAATAACTTCCCAATAAAGATGTCAGAACAAAATAATTAGGGTATTCTATTGCGTTGCAATCGTTTGAAAAGTGTAAAAGTGTAAGCAGTTCCAACAACAATTTCCATACAAAATAGTTTTCAAGGCCTACAACACCCCAGCCTATGTATACAAATCTGTTGTACTTGTGTAGAAATAGGGGGTTAATAATGGGTAGGAATTTTATCTAAAATACTAAAAATATACTGAAAAGTTGGGTTTTAATGACAGAAAATATCATAGCCTTCTTTTCACAAAAATTTAAAAGTTGGCGTTATTTTGTACGTCAATTTCCTGCAACGATATTTTAAAATAGAGGGCGTTCACAATTCTCGTCTGGCAAACTTACAAAGTTTACACTTTTGCAACGCAATTGAATACCCTAAATATAATATTCAACAAAAAAAGATACAATTAGGGTATTCAATTGCGTTGCAAAAGTGTAAACTTTGTAAGTTTGCCAGACGAGAATTGTGAACGCCCTCTATTTTAAAACATCGTTGCAGGATATTGACGTAAAAAAGAAAGCTAACTTTTAAATTTTTGTGAGAAGAAGGCTATGACCATCGCTTAGTTTCGACCTCCCTGGCTCTCTTCCTTGAGGGTTTTTCTTCCATTGAAATTGTTATTCAATTATTTTGTTTTACAGAAGACAAATATTTTTCTTTTGCATTTAAAATTCAAATTTGTTCCTTTCCTTTTACTGTCATTACCATGAATTTTAACCCAACTTTTCAGTATATTTTTAGTATTTTAGATAAAGTTCCTTCCCATTATTAACCCCCTATTTCTACACAAGTACAACAGATTTGTATACATAGGCTGGGGTGTTGTAGGCCTTGAAAACTTTTTTGTATGGAAATTGTTGTCGGAACTGCTTACACTTTTACACTTTTCAAACGTTTGCAACGCAATTGAATACCCTAAATGTGTTTTATTAATACTTGCTCAAAAGATATTCGTTTAGTTGAATATAGTAACGTATCTTCGACTTCTATAATAAATTACTTACTACAAAAAAGACACAATACCTTTTATTAATACTTAAGATCTTAGTTTACGATTTCATGGATTCATGTATATTTTTATTTTTTAAACACCAAAGCAATTCTCAAGCACGAATATCTATCGATCTACCCTCGCTTGAATTTGCGTCAAAGAAAAAGCTTGTGCCAAATTGCAATTGAAGCGGCTCTCATTACCCACTATCCATCCCCCCCAATCAGAGTCCATATCTCAGCAGTACCTCCCTAAATGTGCCGAAAGCCGATGGCGAAAGCTAATCAAAAACCACTTAAATGGAAACGGAGGCATTAGGAAAACCTCCCCACCGATCCAAGAACAAGAAAATACCGAACGGCCCTTTGCTAACAGAATCACCAGGCACGCAATGCCAGTTATCCGTCGTTTTTGCTTATAAGTCGCTAGTTTTCAGGTCTTCTTCTTGGCGGATTTGAATTCTCTTTGCTATTATTATTATTATTATGCCTCGCTGATTGACTCCAGTGAAGGTTATGACATTCAAAGTACATTATCAATAACCAGTGCGCGCTAATCAAACAAACTTGTACAGATCCCTTCTCTCAAATAAGAGGTAAAAACTATATCGACAACTGTACACCCATTTAAAAAACTTTATTAGTAACTTCTGTTAGTTACAGTTAACAGCTGTTATTGTGCGCTTAACAGCACGCTTAGAAAACTAGAATGAAATGGCATTTTCTAAACTAATACCTCTAAATCTTGTTAAAAAATAATAGTCATAGTTCTTAAATTTAAATGTGTAGTTCATGGCAAAAACTTTAATGAGTTTCTATTGCAGAGAACACTTAACTATGACATTTGTACTTAGGCTTTCGCAAACTTAAGATACCACACGATTACAGGGCAGGTGGTAATCACACAACGTCAAGAGCGATGACAACCCTGGCATGTGGGAAAGCCTTTTGGAGACATCGACGACAGACGAGATAGCTACAGTTATAGATAGTTATAGAACATACAAGCGACAACTGGGTGGGAGAATCTACCGACTCAATTATACAAATATTATACAAACATTAGGAATGCATCAAAATAACGAAGGATATTTGTCAAGGCACGGAACAGAACGGAACCCTTGGAGAGGCCAACATACGACGACGTCTGTCACTGGGGCAAGGATGACTCGGCAGTGACTTTTCCGTTCTGCCGTTGGGAAAGCGGGGAAAACCGGGGAAAACCGAGCCTTGGCACACTCTCCAAGGCGCCAGCACGTGCGAAATGTGGGAAAAAAATGGGACAACAGGCCAATCAATAACACGGTGCAGGATGTTTCGAGGGGGTTTGGGTTTGGCTAACAATCATTTACTGGGGTTAAGGTTTCCCCTTCGGTTGGCTTGGGGTTAAGGCTCGGGGCATGATAATTGGGATATTTGGTAACTTGTTGCTCTGGGGCTTATGGGTATTTGAAGAAACCTTGCAAACTAACTGGGTTCAAGTTTAAAGAACTTGTGAGATACTGAAACTATTTCCTAATCTTATATAATATAATTTGTATATGATTAATAATAAAAATATTTATCAGCTAAAAATCGAAAATTCTAAAGAACTATACTGGTCTGTTATAAAAAAAATTAAACATTGCAAGCTTAAAAAATTGTTTTCGCTCCACCGGTAACCGAGACCAGGAATATTTATATAACCCCTCATTCGTTTTGGCTTGATTCCATGATTTTGTCTATTAACTATCTGCACACTCAGCGCCAATCAATTTTTATATAGTTTATGATTATTGTTTATCACCCAGAAGCACTGCAGTTGTTTGTAATGTCGCGTGTCACATTCAACGAGATTCTTTTTTGGACAACAATTGCCCCACCTCCTACACCAACCATTTCCATCCCCATCCCCATCCCCAATTACATCCCCATCCCACCCCAAATACCAACCCTTTTCTGGCACTTTTCTCTGTTTTATTTATATAATTTGTTTCGCATTACATTTGACGATAGTGGATTTTGCGTCGTGTGAAAACAATTAGATGAAGGCAATTCGGGTTGTGGCTTTTACTAGGGGGGCTCTGCGGGTATCTGGATAGAATTTATTGCATAACACACACACAGATATATATGTACTATATATATTTTTTTGTAAATTGCTATATGTACCTAATCGGGGCAGGCGTTGGTCAAGCGTGGGCACTGACATTGCGATTGCAGTTCCGGAAAAACAGTAAACAGTAACCGCACACCATATCATAAATATTATGAAATTGTTCCCCATTTAATTGATTGTATTTATTGCTATTTTGGGTGAACGTTGCGAAATGGGGCCCTAGACAATAATATTCTGTATAGAGCTGTTTGTTTCCAATATCTTGAAGCCATACTCAAACATTATGAAATACTTAATGGGATCCCAAACCATACATCATCCTTTTTTTGCATGTACCAAAATTCTTAATAATTTGTAATATTACTTTTCGATAAGGAAATGAAAATAAGGATGAAGCTTGTACATGGAATTTTTCCAAAGATTCAATGTGACTTCACAGGGATGAGTAATACGAAGTAGTGACTTATTTTGTGAATACTAAGCTGTGAATTGAGAGTAGCAGATAGCAATTCTCTGTTGTTTTGCAGAGTGCACCCAGGAATAGTGCTGATTGAGTGGATATGTATCGCTTATTGGTTCGAAATTGCATCCCTTTGTGCTTTCCAAGCTTTTAGCCGTGTGACAAGCGAGTGAGCTAAGTGTGGGTGGTTTGGTTTTTGAATTTGATTGGGAAAACACAAGCGCCAGAGGTCCTTTTTTCAGTGACGTAAAATACAAAAGGGGTTTTGGGATAGACGACAGCACGCTACTTTAGAGTGTATGAGTCATGGGCGTGGCTTGCTGGGGGGGGCACCACTGCTGTCGAATGGTTTACTTTGCTTTGGAGCCATGGAGCACGATGATGATGATGATGATCATCAATAAAACACATCAACAGTGATCTGGGGGGAGGGCGGGGGATTTAGATTTAGATTTTAGGTGGTAATACCAAACTCGGCGACGAAAAAGTCGCGCAATTTCAATCGGGATTTCTTGGGCTCCTCGCGCGGATGATGGACGGTGATCTGGTCGCCATCGGCCGATATCATCGTCTCGCTGGGCGGCGATATCGAGTATTGTTGGAGCAGTCGGCGCTGCTGTTCGGTGAGCTCGTCCAGCGGATCGTAGCCAGAGGATGGACCTGGACCAGAACCAGAACCAGAACCGGATCCCGATCCCGATCCCGATCCCAGTCCCGATCCAAAGGAGGCCGCCACCGCCGGGTAACTGCTGCTCGATGTGGGCGATGAGGCTGAAACGGCGGCAGCGGCGGCGGCGGCTGAGGCGGTGGCCACGGCGGCAGCCGCTCCGCCGGCGGCGGCCAATTGTTGAGCGATTAGCAGCTTCTGGGCGTGCTCTTCGGCCTCTTTTTGCTTTTTGAAGTCTTTCGATGGATGCACATACATATACGTATATATATATATAGATTCATAACGAACATAAAACTGGGGCGAGGTGGGTTTAGAGTGGACTGCGGGTATACTCAATAAAAAAATATATAAACAAAATATATATACACACATAAAACTTAAAAGGGAGAAAGGAAAAGAGGAGGGCCAACACGACAAAGTGCCCTAAAAATTCAATTTCAATTTGCAATTTGACAAATGAAATTTATCTGCCGCCGCTGCTGCTGCTGCTTTCTGCTTTTGCTTTTGCTTTTTTTGCCGGTGACAGAGGCTGATGACGCTTCACAGATCAAAATTAATGGCATTTCTTTTTTTTTGGGGAGGGCGGCAAACGGGGCTGGGTGCCATGACCTAGCCCACTCAGTGACCTTGACAAATGGTGGGTCTTCCTCGACCATCTCGCCCAATCTGTCTATTTTCCTATCGCCCATATACTTTGTCATCTGCGAGCGGCTTACAGGGGTCTGTCGATAGAAGAAACCATTTCAAATAGGTACGTCATTTTTTATGATACTGAAACCATTCGGAAATGGGTATGAAAACATAACGCTTAACTTTATTTGAAAGTTTTCCTCATTTCCTCAAAGTATCACAGCATATTAAGTTATTCAAAGTTAGAACAAATAAATAATTTGGAAATATCGGGTGGTTTTAAAGACCAAGTTTACAATTTTTGATTATTATGGTTTAACGAGCGATTGTTATAGGGTTCCTCAAGAATCTGGAGGTTAAAACCCCATAAATTGGAGCACAAAAGTATGCTACGATATATATTTTGCGGCAGTCACATTTCCTGCAGCATACTTTTGTACACCCTTGAAATTATTTGAAATCTTTCGAAAAGAACGAAGGAACCCTAGTCTTGTTTGTTGTCTAAGGGTTTCTACTTGCCAGTGTCCACTGTAGTTGGGTCGTGTCACATCTCAGGGTAGGAAAGAAGTGAAAACGAAAGACAGAACCGGCGGGGCAAAAGAGAAACTCATTGCGGAAATGGACAAAAGCCGAAAATCGCAATGTTCAAATGCAATTTCCCCGAAGCGTTGGCAGAGCCAAAGTCAAATGGCGGGGCTCCGCCCAACCGCATCTTCGACATTGGCTGACACTTGCAAAACGAGACAAGCACTAAGCGGCTTAAGCAACCCTCGCAGATGACGGGCGTTTGGGCTGCCAGCAGGAAGAGGGCAGACCGAAGAGAGCTAGCAAAAATGTAAACTATTTAGCGCTTTCACGCTTTGCAGGAAGGTTGCATGATGACGACGATGACACAACCCCTACCGCACCTTCTAAGTCCCCCACAGTAGATATCGGTTAGAGCTAACCCAAGAAAATTCTACAATTTGATTAGAAAGTTCGGCATTTTCTTGAATTTTCTTTTTTTTTTGGTTTGGCAACTAGCATTCATGCACTGATAAGTCATATTTGTTCAAATACGATTTGAAAATCACAAAATGCACATGCAATTTTCTATAGTTTAACACAAAAACAAATATTAATACAATATAATAATGACTCACATATGAACTGTACACATCATTCTGAATTAATTTATAAAATAAATTAAATTTTAAATTATTGTGAAATTTATCATATTGGAAAAATATATTGTGTAGAGGTGCGACATGAACCCGGCCCTTATCTATTTGATTTGACAGACTTATGATACAGTTCTTCAATTTTAAATGGCAAATATGGAAAATAATAATAGGTTATTAAACTATTATTAAATAGTCATGGTATATATTATTAGGGCGACCCGAAAAGCTTGCAAGTCTGCATTGGCAGACATAATTTCAAGAAATGTCATTTGAACTCGATTTGGATTCGACCGTTGCTTGAAATTAGCCGATTTTATCTAAAAAAAAAAAGAGTCAAAAATGATATTTAAATGTCAAAAAGGATGTTTAATAGGCAAGTTATTAAGATGTAAGGCAGTTTTATGCCTCAACCAATATTTGCTGATTTTTTGTGAACAAATCTGACTTTCAAATATCATATATATTATAATTTATTGGCAATCAATGTATTTTAGTTAATCTCTACAAATATTTAGTGTGTGCCTCCTTTTCTTTGTGAATTTTTACATTACATGATATTAAAATATCAAATGAATTCAAATTTATAGGGATGTTAGAACTTTTTAGTAGTACAATCTCAACCGATATTTACTAAGTGCTTCCCTAGTTTTTTGGGAGCATTCCTGATTTTAATAACTATCAAAAATAGTGTAATTCATTGGAATGCAATGAATTTTAGTTATTCTCTACCAATTTTTAGAGTGTGCTTCCTTTCTTTGTGAATTATTACATTACATGATATTAAAATATCAAAGTATTTCAAATTTATAGGGATGTTAGAACTTTTTAGTGGTACAATCTCAGCCGATATTTACTGCGGTCCCTCCCTAACGGTCAGTGGGGTTATTTGCCGCTAAGCTCCTTATCGAGAACTCATGTGATCCAATTCCATTCCTTCGCCGGCAATTTCATAGTCACATACGTGTATGTTGTATTTTGTTTGAATCACGCCCGTGTTTATCAGCTCGATGACGTCATGGGCATTCGATATAGTCGAAAGACTAATAAACCAAAAATCATTGAGAGACAACAGCTGGCGAGGGAGATGGCACGACTAACAGCGCGATCACTGTTAGAGTTATGTAAACGCTAATGAGCGTAACAGTAGATGTTGTTGTTGATGTTGTTGTTGTTGCTGCCGTTTTCCGAGAGGAGCAATGAAAATCAATTAAAACTAATTGATTCAAGAGTCAAATTCAAACGGTCGCAGTCGCAGCAGCGGCGGCGGAGAAAGGGGGTTTTGTTTTTTTCTTTACTACCATTTAAGCGAACAATGTGCAATAATTAGAAAATGCAATCGCACACGAACACACAAACACACTGATAAACTGGGTTATAAATTAAAATGGGGCTAAGGACAGGGGCGGGGAAGGGAACGGGGGAATAGAAAGGGGGGCCCAAGGCACATTTACTTACTCTCCAGCAGCCGCTGTATCAAACTGTCCACATTCAGATCGAAATCGCCCATTTTTCAGCAGTTCTTTTTTCTTGGCCGCGTTTTGTTGTTGTGGCCAGCTGTTCCAGAATTCCGATTGGAATTTTTGGCGCAACAACTACACGCACGCACACACGCACACAGCGACGCCCGTTGGCTTAAATACTTCTATTATTGTAAACAACAATTTTTCGGCTGCCGTTGCCGTGTACTTAATTTGTTGTATTCTTTTGGCTTTTATTTTCCTTCTTATTTGCCGCAAAAGGCAATTTCACTTTTTCTCGATGGGGCCGCTAGTTCACTGATGTTGCACGAGGGGCAAAAACAGAAAAAAAATATACGCGGCCGCTCGACTTTCGGTGCTTTCGATTCGATTGCAAATCGGTCGGGGAACAGAGATATATATATATATAAATATATATACGTGGGCTGAGAAATCGGCTTAACTGAGAATTTATAAACCACCGTAATTTTCTCTCCGCCAATAACAAAACTCGTCAGTTCAGAATCGCCAGCTAGACCCAGTGTGACCGTGGACTTGTACAATACCGTCCGGCTCGAAGAAATAAATACCATTTTTGGCTTTTTCAAATATACCTAAACATTCAAAACGGTCACTTTGCTATCTCCGCTTTGCGCATGCGCCATTTTTGAGCGCCATCTTCAATTTCAAAAAGGGAAGTTAAAGGAGAAAGAACAGAATAATAATGTGAAAGATAACCAACGATATTTAAAAACTAGACGTATCGATAGTTACAGTCGGTACTACGCATCGATAGTTTAACAGCTGTAAATCACCGCCATCGATATTTTTCAATTGGCTTATCTTGCAGTTTATTTTGAACTCAAATTTGAAAATATATACATTTGTATATTGACAAACTAATAGGCTTTCAGGCGTCGGGCTCCACTGTGTATTGAACCATTTTATGTGCAAGTTTCTATAGATAGTCGACGACCTCATTGAACGTCCAGTCTAGCTTATTTATTTTAATTTTGCACAGTCACCTCGGTTGAGAACATCTGGATGATAATATTGTCCTTATTTATAGGTATTGAAATTTAATTAGGGTATTCCCTCAACTGTTCAATTGTTAAAGTTTGGTCAGCTGTTTATCAGCTGCTCCATACAAACTCAATTTTCAAAAATTTTACAAATTCAACAACCTCGATGCCGTATTATTCACTTAAAAATCCATTTGTGAAGTATACTTTAGTTTTTCATTCCTTATTAATTTTTTTTAAAGTTATATATAAAAATAATAGGTTTCTACTTTCGAAAAGTTTGAAAACTGGTCTCAGCTGTTTGAAAATGGAACTGAAACTATATGGGATGGTACCCATCTTTTGTTGAATTTTCAGCAAATCAGAAATTCAACAGTTTAGGGAATACCCAGACATTAAGGTGAAGTGATACTTTCTTAGTTTTATTTTTGGCAGGGCGGGGACCTTAAAATTTATTATTATTGGTATGACCAAAATGTAGTACTAAAATATTGGGTATAGTATAAATATACCCAAAAAAAGATATTTTAAAAGATATTTTCACTCAAGAACTAATATTTAAAACTTATATATTTTTGATCACTTAATAACAAATATATATAGACCTTTATATAGACCTACGACGTTCTTGCAAGCAAAAAATAATTAAATAACTTGTTTTCAGTCCCTGGTAATAAGTAGTATTTCTTATAAATCAAGAAATGCAATTACATATCAAAATGGAAAGCCATTAAAAAAAATTTCTGAAAGCATGCAAAAAAAACTATATAAAATCAAAATGGAAAATTTTTACTTGATTTTTTTTGGGTCATTAAATAAAATTAAATTTAAAAATTAAAATAGTAAAAAACCATTTACGAAGTATACATGTAATTTGATGTTTTATGCCTTGGCCAAATACATAGCATTATCACAATTAAATTTGTAGTAAAATTATTTGAATTTTTCATGTATTTTATTGAAAAATATTTGTAAATTGTAAATAAACTAGTTCTCTGAACTTAAAAGTTTTGGCAATGCGACATATCGATAGAACTGAACAGTGCTCAGCAACCCAGCACTAAAAGTCAATGTGCTGAGTGCCATTCAAAAATCGTCCTCTTTCTTTTCCGGAGTTCGGCCGAATAAGTTCGTTGTCTGAGAGATATTATACTATCTATTTTTTTTTTCAAATAAGAAAGGTAACGCTCGTGTTTAACTCTTCTCCTTTTGCTCAAAGTGTTTTTCCACAGCACACCATGCCCCAATGGAACATCAACGAACTTACAATAATTCAATTTATGTTGGCTAATAAACGCCATATATTGACTTGCTTTATGATGTTCTCTGTCTCCATTGCAATGGCTGTCTGGGATATTGATAACGTTATAGCGGAAGCCATCGCCAACAGAATACCTCTACAATGGCCGGGCAATTTGTCCTGGAGCCACTGGAGCTTACTCATTCTATTTGCGGTCCTATTTGCGGCTATGGTATTCGGGGTACTTAATCAAAGACGACACCGCGTAATGAACTTAAACCGCGTTGGCAGGGTGCGCCGTTAAATGTAAGGTGTTACGGCAGCAGGATGACCACAAAAATGTACAAATGTGAAATAATAAAGCCTCCTGTAAAAATAACTCCCTTTAAAATTTCAACGTGTTTTTGTATTTTTCACAATCATAATTTGAATAAAATGGAACTGTCATGGAAAGTGGCGAAACAAATATTCTAACCTAACTTGGATTTTCTTGCGGCCCAGTTTTCTAACCTTACTTTCTACAGGAATTTAATTGGCTGGGGTTAGGTCGCATATTGGCCATAACAATCACAAATTGAAGAAAACGGAGGAGTCATGAAAATGAAAATGGCGAAAAAGCTGCCAACCTAACTTGGAAACTCTTTCTGCCCAGTTTCCCTACGTTACTTTCTACAGGAATTTATTTCGATGGGGTTAGCTCGAATAATATTGGCCATTTTAACAACCATAAATTGCAGAGAACGGAAGAGTCGTGAAAATGAAAATGGCGAAAAATTTTCTAACCTAACCTGGAATTTCTTGCGGACCAGTTTTCTAACCTAACTCTGCAAGAAGAGGTTAAGTCGAAATATTATTGGCATTGATAAAAGAAAAAAACAGCTAGCCCTCTGCCTGAGTTTGTTTTCATTAGGTTGGCATTAAAAAGAACAAAACAAACACGGAATATTGACAGTTGTTTCGTATTTTTTTCGTATTTAATAAATAAACTTGATTTCCGAATCACCGGCCGCGCGTGAATCGTGGGAATCCCAGGTATTTGGCCACTTTGGAGCACTGGCGTTGCGCGATTGCGGTATTTTTCCACCCCACCTCCGCTTTCGCATGCGGCTGTGCAGCCCTGGCAACCGCGCAAACGTAAATAAACGCACCCCCACCTCCGGTTTTCAATTTACCAGCGACCAAAGCCGCCGGCATGAACTATTTTCCCAACTACTACTCCATCGAGGACATATTCGTGACCCAGGAGAAGGTGGAATGCCGGGTGAACACCAAGCTGCAGCGGATGGGTGAGTACCCATGTGTCCATTGTGTCCAGGAATCCATTGACTAGCAAGCAATACTCTGCAGGCTTCCTGGACTCCGGCGCCGAATCGGATGATCTGGAACCCGGCCGCACGGTCAACCTGCCGCTGTGGTACATCAAGGAGCTGAAGGTGAACAATGCCTACTTCACAGTCTCCGTGCCGGACATCTATCGCAACGTGCACAAGGCCGTCTGCGAGGCGGAGACCACGCATATCGAGCTGGGGCGCCTGCATCCGTATTTCTACGAGTTCGGCCGCTACCTCACGCCCTACGACCGCAACCACGTGATCGGGCGTATCATCTTCGAGACGTTGCGACAGCGCGTGCGCCACCTGCTCGACATCTCCAAGAGCGACGGCCAGGCGGCCAAGGCGGAGCACCGGCTGGACAACATCGAGGCCAAGCTGCACGAGGCGGGAGTGCGCACCAACAGCCAGGTGGGCTCAGGCTCATGTGTTTTGGGTTCCCGGATTAGCCTGCATATTCGGAATTAGCTCTCCTAGTCCTGTGAAATCTAAGGGCACGTGATCAAGGCTGCGTAAGAGTTTCCTGGACTTGGTAGTTCCATGTTCAGATTTTACTCTCTTAGTCCGATGATCCGTATACCTTGCACATTGTCTTTCCCTAAGTTTTGATAGCTCCATAAACTACATTTGTTCTCCTAGTCCGATGCACTTTCATGTACGTTCTCCTCCCCTAAGGCTGGCAAACTTTAGGGCTCTTCCTTATGCCTGAGAAATGGGCTCCTGGTCTTAATAGCTCCATGTTCAGCCTTTATTCTCCTAGTACATTCTATTCCCCGAAGGGTTTCTTATCTTAGGGCACATTCACACGTTTGGTAGATGTGTTACCAGACTTCGCAGGTCCATATTCCGTCTTTATACTTCTAGTCTGGTGAACTTCCTACCTTGCTTTATGGGTCACCAATCAAAAGACACTTCTTTGTTCCTGGGTTAAAGCTTCCCGGACTTGATAGCCCCTTATACAGCCCATATAATCCCAGTCCGTGTGTATTTCATATTCCCCTGAGGATCTCTAATCCTGGTGTTAATAGGTAGAATGCAATCCTCCTTCCAAAGAGTATGGCTCTTCTGCAGGGACAGAGAAGCCTCCTCTGCTAGGTCTGCCCTACATTATCCTATCTTAAAACACAACTTAACAGCAAAATAAACTAACATTATTTCTCCATTTCAGTACATCGAATGGCTGCAGATGACGGGCAACAAGATCCGGACCTCGGAGCTGGTGGAGGAGCATCAGAAGAAGCGGCGTCGGGCGGACCGCAGCGATGACGAGAGCGACGTGCTGCCCAACAGCAAACGGGCCACCTTGTGACCCCTCCCAGCACAGTAAACCACTAGAGGCTCTGATGTCTTGGAACTGTAGCAACTTTATTTCGTCCATTCTTTTTGGTGGCCATAGGACAGCCTCACCTCTCAAAAATACACTTGTTCTACGCACTGGGCTACAGCCAATTTGTACAGTTCAAAAACACATGGGCTCGCATACATCTACACATAACTAAGCATCCAATCTGGGGCATCCAATCCGGGCTTAAGCTAATCTCCTAGGATCTGCCGGTCCGCGCTTTCCATGGACTTGGCAATAAGCCAAACAACCGCGCATCCATATACGATTTTGCGCCACATTATTACATATAAATAGTTAACTACATATATAATTATAATCTTGTAAGCTCAATTAAAATTTGATTTTGTGCTAGTTTCACATACATTTCACGAATAAACATTCACCAATGTCAGCATACATAGGTAGTTCGTAAAAAGCAACCAATAGGACTTCATTCTATTCCAGGGACCGTAATGCTCATAAGTTTTTGTACGTCTGGATTGTGCTTTTCGTATTTTGGAAGAGTTTGGTTATATTTATTTCTAGGTTTAGTTAACTAAACAAGTTAGGTTTGAGCGCAAAGTTTAGACAAAAAATTTATAACTGGTAAATTAATAGTGTATAGTAGTTTCTTGCAATTATTTATTTGAAATGAAATAAAAATGTTCTCTTTCGAATTCGACTTTATAATAATATGAACTGATGCTTAGGCATTTTTTAAATGAAAATACTGCTCTTAAACATATCAACAAATGAGGGTGATATATATTTGCAGACAATTGAGCTTAAATATTTTATAAGGAAATTGATGAAGAAAAAATAAAGACAGACACATATGAATTAGAATATTGTTTTTCATCTTTGTTAAATTAATTTAAAATTGGGCTTCATTGTTTTTACCAAGCTGTTTTGTAGGTGGCTCGTATTTAAATGATTGCAAAAACAAACTTAAGCATGCCAAAAAATCGAAATAGTTTTTTACGGTCCCCGGGAATCTATCTTTTTTAATCACTATACATTTTCTCTTCGTTTTACAATATAAACTCGCAATATATGCACATCGAACGTTCCTAGTAATGCATCTGGCCAATTTCCTTTGGCTTTAATATGCTTTTCAGTTATCTCTTCTGCATTCGCTATATATATTTCTAACAGGCTATGTTATTAACACAAGCTTTCCCCTCGACAATCTTTGGGGCGAATAACAACATCGATTTCGTGGATATAGCAAGAATTGAATGCAACATTGATTCATTTATGGTTAGGGGGCTTGCTTCAAAAAATAAGCAACATATATGTAGTTAGTTTATTCGCTTCATCTGCATTTGGTTTTAGTTTTCTTTTTGTTCTTAGTTTTTTTCAGGTTTTTAGTAAATGTCTTTTTACAACTAAAGATCTGTCCCTGGTCGTAATTTTCCGTCGTAGTCCGTCGCAATCCTCTCCGATTCCTTTTTGCGTGTCAACAATATTCCGTCCGTCCTGATGAGTCGTTGTTGTATAATTAATTGTTAAAAATGTATAAACAATAGCAAGATCTCCGCAAAATGGAAGCGGCTGGAACTCTGCCTCAAAATAAATACATGGATAGAAAACAAATAGTTTACAATTTGCACTAGTTTTTGCCATTTATGAGGGCGGTGGGAGTGGGCGTGGCCGCATTTGTATCTGGAAGAACGGCATTGGGCGGTCGTCGCTTCTGCGGTAGGAATACCTGAAAAAATAAGAACACACGAATGTAAGTGAGACAGAACTATATAGTTTCTTCTTTCAAATTCAACCTATTTTTTTAAGTAGCTAGTGATTTATAAGAAACATTTGATAATAATTTCAAATAATATAAAAACAATACAAAATACAGTACTTCTTTAAATTAGTTAACAATTTTGAATCTTAATTTTTAAATGCCTATGCATGGTCACCTATAATTGCAATTACCATCATTTTTTACTGGAATAGAAATATAGCTCACCTTGAGAGCCCCCAAAACCATCAGATAGAACCAATAAAGCTGTGGCAAGAACAGAATGGCGATGCTGACGAGGCATCCTCGTGGCAGCCCGCACATGGCCGCCCACATGGAGGCAGCCTCGATGGCCAGACTGTAGCGCCACATCACGTATGGCCACATGCAGACGCGGCACACGAAGAAGGTGGCCAGCATGAGCAGCCCGTTGGCGATGTACACGCGCGAATCCTTCAGGCGCATGGTGCTCAGGATGCTGCGCATCGAGACAAACGGCGTGGAGAACTCCATCATGAACATGTAGCTGTAGATGCAGTGACCGCCGCCGCGAATATACTGAAATAAAATAAAATACAAGTATAAGTACAAGCTATTTAAATATAAAATATCCATATAGTGCCCTTACCGTCACCACCAGCAGTCCAAACGTTCCGATAAAGACGTGGTGTATCATCATGACTGGGTGTGTGAGCACGTACTTGAGGAAGTCCCATCTGCCGTCCTTGGGAATCTGGACGCAGGCGCCGTCGTAGTCGCAGATCTCGTGCGGGGTACCCGGAGTGCTGCCGTTGTTGTTGCCGCCGGATGAGTTGCCGTTGATCTTGCCGTTGGCATGACCATTGCTCACCGCCGCCCCCTGACCTTTGGTAATGCGCAGCAGGTGCAGTTTGTCGGCGATCTTCTGCGTGTGCACCTTGTACATCGACCAGATGTCGTACATAAAGTAGGCGGTGCCGAACCAACCGTAGGCCTCCATCAAGAAGTGCGACGCATAAACGAAGGACTTGGTGCACGTCGATTTGCAGACGATAAGTCCAACGAGGAAGGAGAAGAAGGCCTGGATGGCCGATACGATTCTGCAAGGAATAATCGAGATTTTAAATAAATGGAAAACTTAGGGCGCAAGGAATGGATCTATTATAATACAGAATTTGGTCAAGAATAAAGAGCTATTTATATAAAAACATTTTCAATACAGAATTTTTCTAAGAATGCTGATTGAATGCATTAACTACAAATGTGATGCAGTAGAATAAAAATAGAGCTGGTGTAATTCAGCATTTTTCCAAGAATCAACAGTTGGTATAATAAAGGCATTTTTCAAGAATACTGATTGAATGAGCTTTTCTAAGTATGTAGGTCATAAGAATCAAAAATTCACTTTCTCTTCTATTACGGAACCCCCTTTAAATGTAATGCTAAAAATACCGAATAGATAAATATAATACATATTGCTTGATTTATTCCCATTTCTCCAAAAAAAACAGCTTATCTAAAGACCATAACTTCTGGGAACAAGGTTGGTACAATGCCACGTCTTATACACCAGTCCTCTAGCCTTAGTTCTTACAAACCATCGACTCAAAATTCAACTAAACCTTCATATTTTGACATAACTCATATATTCACAGGAATAAACTCAAAATTTTTGGTAACCAATTGGAAGAAGTCATCTCCCGCCCAGAAAACAGGAACCCAAATCTCAACCCAAACCACCGATTATGGAGCCATGTGATCCCGGACCGGAAAGAATCATGCGGCAATACCTATCGCAGCTGCTGGAGACCGGCACCACCCGTTCCACTGGCTGCCTGGACCGCTTCGTCATGAAGGGCATGACCAATTTCCCGCCCCCATCCTCCTCCCTCGAGGGCAAGGCATCTCGCTGCTCGCTCTTCGAGCAGCTCCTCTGCGGCGGAAGCCGGAAATCAGAGCGTTTGCTCGTGCCCGATCTGGCCACCGATTGGTTCCGCAAGCAAAAAGTATTCCTGGACAAGCTCACGCCGGAGGAACTGGCCGCTCTGAGCGATGGATTGGCGGACAAGGATAGCGAAAAGTCGGGTCAGGATCAGGAGCAGCTAGTACACCGTCGTTGCCGTTGTCCTGGTCCAGTGGCCAACCAAAAGAAGGATGCGGAGGCTCCAGTGGGCAAGGTAGCCGCATGTATTCCCACCACGGAACCCCGAGCGGGTAATAGCAATCCCTTCCTGATCGGTCGTCATTCCCAAACGGAGGAGATGCGTGGCAAGAGTCCCAGGCGTGGGAGAAAGCTCCACTTGGATGGGACCAGACGGGGCAGCTGCTCCTGCCTGAAACGCCGGGCGGGCTCATCCTGCAGCTGCCTCTTCCAGGCAGATGGACAGCCCATGGGCAGCGATTGCTTGACCGCGCGCAGGACGGAGCCGCTGTTGCCGCGCTTGCGCCGCAAGTTCGACTTGCGCCAGGCGCCCCAACGTCGGCTCGATCCGGCGCTCTTCCGCCGTATCTCGCCGGAGTTCTTCCGCATCCTGGCCAGCTACGAGGAGGCTATGAGCGAGAGCTGCCCGCTCTACGGCATCTCAATGCATCACTGGGGCGACACGAAGGCATGTTGTCCGTGCGGCGAGCGGCACTCTCAGTTGAGGCAGCGCTTCCTGGGCGACGATACGGTGGCCACCGCTGTGGTTCCCCCTACTTATGCACCATTGGAGTCTCGGAATGAAGAGGAGTACAGCCACACCACCAGGAGAAATCAAGAGAAGGGGAGTCGGGAGTCCAGCCCGTCCTCGAAGAAGATAGCTTTCAAATCACCCACGGAGCAAGCAGAGAAGAAGCCAAAGAAGCAGTGCACCAACGAAACCTGCCTTAATGAGTCCTGTCATGGAACTAAGGAGGAGGCCATTTCCTCCGGGGATGAACGATCGGCACAAAAGCGTCGGAAGCAGGACGACAAACAGCAGAGGAAGGAGAGTCAAGAGGTTAGACAAATGGAAAGCAGGCAGTCACTTCAATCTTCCAATCCGTCCGAGAAACCTACGTCGGAGAAGCGACTGTGGAGAAGGGGCGATCAGAAGGAGAATAGACAGACGAATCAACCCGAGAGGCGAAGGAAGTTTCCCAATTGCTTCCGCCGGCAACCCCAGGCATATAGGACAGCCTGTGTGCCCACGAACTTTGCCCCGCCTTCTAATCACCCGTGTGCCCATCCATCAGCTCGTCCATGTTCTCTTCCAGCAGCTCATCCATGTGCTCATCCATCGGCTCATCCTCCTCAAGCAACGCCCACCGATGGGACAGCAATCCAGTGCGGCCACCAGCCCAAGGGCATTCTGGGTGGATTCACGGGCATCTGCAAACGCTGCATGGAGCCGGGTCGCCACCTGCTCTACAATCTGAATGCCAACTACCAGCAGAATCGGGAGCGGTACGGTCAAGTCCGGCAGAATAAGAAACGGTCAAAGGAGGAGCGGCCCGGACGGGACATATTCCACATGGCCTCGCAGCCGGCGCCCTGCAGTTGGCGAAAGTCCAAGGCAGATTGGATTGAGGAGGAGGACAGCAGCACCACCCTGACGCCTCAATCCGAATGTGGTGTCCAGCGGTGTCCACAGGACTGCATAACTAATCATGTCCAGGCGAGGAGCGAGCAGTCCCTGCCCTTTCGCACGCCCACCAGCGATCGCACCTTGGCGGGATGGAATCCAACGAGCAACCAAGATAAGCAGATGAGCAATCAGCAATTGGGGATGATGCAATGTCAACCGGACTGCAAGTGTGGACTTCCGCAGGAGGCTTTCCAGATGCCGCCCGCTTCCAGGTGCACTTGTGCGCCTGATCGGCCAGCACAGCAGGTTGTACACAGCTCAGATGTGCCCAAAAGATCCGAGGATCCGGGCAAATCCTCCAGCGAAGCGGAGTACTCCAAGTGCGGTCATAGAGTGAAGGCCTGCTATTTGGCCAATGATTTCCATCAGCTGATGCAGCGCGTGGCCAGGAAGAGAACAAGACCTAAGACTCAGCTTCCAGGTAGACCCCAATCCTTCACTCCGAAACCAACTTCAAATAGAGGGCCCAGTAAAACGAAAGAGGCACCAGCAGTTTGTCCCAAAACTCAAGTGACCCAGGTGCCTGAGGCTTCAGTAGCATGTCCTGCAACCAAAATCCATCCCAAAATACCTATGAAACCCAGGGTTAGACCGAAACCCAAACCAAAACCAAAACCAAGGGTCCTGCCAGAAGAACTGAATATCACCCAGGTGGCCAACGAAACTCCCAAGTTAAAGCCTCTTCGGAAGGTCAAAAAGATGAAGGTGGAACGTGGGCCCAGCAAGGAGTCCTTAAAGGAAGCCTCATCGGCCAGGGGCACAAGTTCCCTCAGCCTGGACATCTGCCAGGCGCAAAGTGATATTCCCTCGATAAGAAGCCAACCTCAAGTGTCCAACCAACCAAGCAGCAGTCCAAATCCCAGTTGGAATACCCCAACCAAAGAGTCACCAAGGAGCACATCTGCACAAAGGAATCGAGAGGAGCGGATTCCGGACTCCAAGCCCCCAAAGAGGAGTCCGAGCAGAAGGTCAAGTCAGAAGAGAACGTCATCCTGCTGCTCCTTCTGCAGTTTGCATGGCCGATCTCGTCGACAGCGTTCCCCCAAAGGGGAAGTCAGTGCAGCCTGTCACTACCCCAAGTCCAAGGCGAGCTCCATTTCAGAGGCGCCCAACATGTCGGATGCCTCCTCGTACTGGACACAAAAGAGCCGGGATGACTATGTCAGGCAGAAGCCACCGAAAAAGCCAGATCGTCGGCAGAGATTCCTATCCAACTCTTCGTATCGCTCCTGCTCCGATGCCTACTCCAGTGAGTATTCGAAGGTGTGGGAGCAGGAGGATCCGTGCCGATGTTCGCCCTTGAAGTCGGCCATGAAGAAGGCGCCGGTCCAATGGGAGGCTGATCCCCCGCCGATGAACTCCTTCCCCGGCACTGCACCCTCGCATTTGGAGACGGGTCGACGGTACTACACGGACACACAGCCGGGTGGCCAGGAGGTCGGCTCCCGCTGCAGCTGTCGCTCCCTGCGCTCCACCAGCTCCATCCGGGCACTGAGCTCCAACACGGACAGTGTGCGGTGTCCCTGTGCTCCGGCTCCATCGGTGGCCAGTGTTAAGCCCCCCGAGGAGGGTGCGCAGGTGGAGGTGGAGGAAGAGGCGGGGCAGTGTTTCTGCTGCAGATACCAGGATCCCTATCTGCAGACCAGTTCCTCTCCCCCTCCTCCTCTTCCTCCTCCTCCGTGTGCCTACTTCCAATCGTGCTCCTGCAGCAGACGTCCCAAGCCCAAGTTCTTTAGTGAAACTCTGAGGTGGGAGCCACAGCAGCACCACCACGCCCGCACTCAGCTGCGCACCCAACGTCCTCCGCCTCCGAAGCACCAACAGTTGGCGAGCTATCCGCAGTACCAGGCGGAGCAACAGACCAGGGAGTGGGTTCCAGAGTACCAAGCTCCTTGTCGCTATCCAGAAGATGCTAACCAAAGGTGGGAGGATCAGGCTGAAGACTCGCAATATTACAGGGATCACAACTATCCCGTGCAGGGGACTCAGCACAATGATGACCCAAGGAACAACTCCTACCCAGGTCAAAGGAACTGCCTCACAGGGCGGGGAAGGGATCGAGCTGGAGCCATTACAGCCGCTGCTCAGGGACTTCGAGGATTGGTTAAGGCTTTGGGAGGAACTCGTCATCGACCGAGACAAAATCCTCAGCCAGAATACTATCAACCAGCTGGCTATTGTGAAGCACAGGTAGAAGGTAATCGCAGCAATGGTGCCACTCCCTTGAGACCCACTTGGCCACCCAGTGAGCAACCAGATTATAGAGAGGTGTCCCCCATTTACATGGGAGCTTCCACCTCGGCCTTCTCACCCAGAAACAACCACTCGGTTAGTCCAGATTTCAACGGGTACCCAAGAACAACCAACTTGGATATCGATGGTGAAGGGAACTACCATTCAGTGCATGAAAGACCCACAAGGTGCAATGTAATACGAAAGGAGAGGGAACAGTCGTGGTTCAGAATGAAAGGTGGAGGAGGTAAGGTCATAGTGGATCCATCAGCCATGGGAAGGGAAAGGGGAGGATCATCTGGGTATTTCGTTCATGATTGCCAAGTCGAGTCTCCGTGTAGAAGAACGAATTCTTTCCCCAAAAGAGGACTACAAACTGGAGGAGTTTCTCCCCTTATCGATGAACACGAAAATGGTCCTAGTACCACACCTCTTGGGATATTCTTGGACAGCTTGAGAGCGAAACATGCTGCATCTGAGATCCTCACTAGAAAGACACAGCAGGCGGCCAACCAAGAGCCTAGAAAAGTGGCTACACTGGAAAATATTCCGAAACCTCTTCAAACAGAAGGCCACGAAACTCCAACGTCCAGTGACGATGAAACGGATGCGGATGACAGCCTCGATTGGAGGAACAGACAGCGCAGAGCCTCGGAGGAGACCATGGTCATCCCATCCACCTACACAGGTCTCCTGGAGGAGCAAGTGCTCGGCGAGTACTTGCCCAGTCCGCGGTGCAAGCGCAGGACATAGGTTCAACCTCAGCCGGATCCGAAGGGATTTATGTATCAATAGACTAGTATTTTATGTATAACTAAAGTAAATGTGGAACTAATGTTAAGTGGAGTAGGTTAAACATTACTGAAGAGAAACATTTTTTGCCAGATTAAAGATCATTCTAAACATCCTGTGATATACAATATCAACCTTAAGAATAGTAGATCTGCAATATTGTCTAGCAAAATGTATACCCAAAAGACAATGACGAAATTTGTAAAGCAATACGGATACGCAATGAAGTGCATACGGATGGACCGAGATTAAAGACAGAATAAGGAGAATAGACAAATACCATTTGCAACGCGGAATTTAGTGAATTTTGGATGGACCGAGATTACAGACAGGATAGAAAGAGAAAGGCTACGAAGACTACGGACTTAATTTACTCCTCCGGCGGTCGCCACCCTGCATCCGTACTCCCGCGCTGGCCGTTTCGGTCTTGCCCTTCTTCGGGGATCCCGTGGAGTTGCGCGACTCCCGGCGGGACCCCCTTTCCCCCGCAACCCAGCTCTTCTTATTGGACGAGCGACGGTGGGAGCTGCCGGTACTGCGGACGACGGGTGAGCCGCTCTCGACCCGGTTGGATGGTTCCTCGATCTCCGGTACGCGGCGAGTGCAGTATATCTGCGGGGTGATGGTCCTGCGCTGCGGCTTCTTCTGTGTATCCGCATCCTTGGCCTTGGACTTCGTTTTGCGCCGGCGTCGCTTGCGGATAACCGCATTCTTGTCCGTGGCGGCCACCTTGTGGTAGAGATTGCACAGCTGCTGGCACTGTCGGGCGCTGTGGAACCGCTTGATCCTGCCGTCCTGCTCCAAGATCCCGCACACCAGCTCATCCAGCTGCACTTGCTGCAGGACCAATAGCAGGCCATTGAGGTCCACGGGGCAGGCGGCACGGGCGTTCAGCTTGAGAAGCATGGCCAGGAGCTGGGTCTTCTGCTCGGGCACCAGCACCGGACCCAGGAAGATCAGGCGCAACAGCTTGTAGGCATTCGTCCGGTCCAACGGATCGATAGGCTGGCCGCAGCGATCGTACAGGCTGTCGTAGATCTTCAGGTCGTGGAGCTCCGTGTACGGTGCCTTCACGTTCTCCATTACCGACCAGATGCGATCGCGTGGGAAGCGCGGCAGCGGCCGGCTCTCGTGGTAGGCGAGCTGGAAGAGGGTGGTCAGAATCTGGAACTTGGTGACGCGGAACAGGCAGCTCAGCGCCTCCAGGATGTGCTTGTTGCGCTGGCAGGTGCAGCGGCACTCCTGCTCCGAGTTGTTCTGGCTGCACAGCGTGCACTTCGAGGAGGGACAGCTGCTGTGGACTGTCGCCGGACGCAGTGGCTCCAGCGGCATCCGGCAGGCGGGCCGGCAGCACATCGAGGGCCCGCAGGCCGGAGCACCGCACATCGGAGCGCAGCACATCTTCCACAGTCTCGCCTTGAGTCCCGCACCGAAAAACTACTAATTTAGCGAGCCTAGGCTTTTTTTTATCGAAAAAAGGATTGACCTGATTTCCTGATTGAAAATAATTCCATGGCTACAAATATTGGAACAAAAAATCAGATGGATCAATTTTATATTCGCAGCTTTGTGCACCTTTTGTATCGTTTTCGTTCTAATAAATTAAATAAAGGACTAACTGACGGTTAAAAATGAAAAAAAGATCGGGTTTTAACCACATATTATTGCGGTAATTGAACGTAACCGATAGAAGAACACGTTACAGACCCAATAAAAACAAGGAAGAACGCTATAGTCGAGTACCTCGACTATCAGATACCCGTTACTCAGCTATATGGAGATATGCAAGCAGCAAAGCGAGATTAAAATGCGCCACCTACCGGCGGTATACAGATTTAAGCGTTATGGGCGTTAGAGTGGGCGTGGCAAATTTTTTTTTGGATCAATCGATAGGTATCGACGAGACCAATACATTTCAGTTAAAATTTTTTATCTAGCATGAAAATTGTGGGCGTCACAGGTTTTCGCGGTTTGTGGGCGTTAAAGTGGGCGTGGCAAACTTTTTTTTGGGTCAATCGATAGGTATTGATGAGAACAATACATTTCAGTTAAAATTTTTATTCTAGCATCAAAACTGTAGGAGCCACAGTTTTGGGCGGTTTGTGGGCGTTAGAGTGGGCGTGGCACTGTGCCGAAACAAACTTGCGCTGCGTAAGAAGCTCAGGAATCTGCACGCCAAATCTCAATAGCCTAGCTCCCATAGTTTCCGAGATCTCAGCGTTCATCCGGACGGACAGACAGACGGACAGACGGACAGACGGACAGACGGACAGACGGACATGGCTAGATCGACTCGGCTAGTGATCCTGATCAAGAATATATATACTTTATGGGGTCGGAAACGCTTCCTTCTGCCTGTTACATACTTTCCGACGAATCTAGTATACCCTTTTACTCTACGAGTAACGGGTATAAATATATACTCTTGATCAGCTAAGTAAATTTATTTTAATGGGAGGTTACCTTCCTTTTATGTTTTTTAACTACAGTAGAGATTACTTATAGAGTATATTGCATGTAAGAGTTAGAAGAAAACGTTTCCGAACTAACAAGGTATATATATTCTGGGTCATCATCTGAGTTTATCTATTACAGCTCGAGGTTAGCCTTACTTCATGTTTTTAACCGTAGATTGGATTAGGGTATATTGAATGTAAGAGGCAGAAAAAAAAGCCTCAGATCTAATAAACTAAATAACTAGGTAAGCCCTATTTGATGTTTTTCAAAAAAAGCTTGGTAAATTTAAGTTACTTTTACATCCATCAACTACCCAGTTTCGATCAAAGTAGCTTTTTCCACCATATGTCATTCCTATTTAGTCTTTATACCAATCATTATGTTAAATTATTCAAAAAATAACCAAAATCGTTTTTAACTATTGAGAAAAAGTACACAATATAAATTTGAAATCAGTTAAAATTCCCATTCGACCAAAGGACCTAATCCAACATTTTCGGCCTAGCGCAATGTCCCATGATATGACTCAATTTTTAGGTGGAGTCCGCCGCAGTCCACAAGATCGGGCCAGGACAACGAGAACCAAGGTGGGAACTGGTCTCATCGCAACGGACCCAGCCAGGTCCACTCAAAGGCCACCAATTGGTGCTGGTGCAGCGCACACACCGAGGTGGAATCAAAGGCCACCAGTTGGAGCAAGTGCAGCGGCGGGAGTTGCACCCAAGAGGCCCGTAAATCGAGTGAGACCCCAACAGGGGGTAACAGCCGAGCCAGGTGGAGCAGTTCCCAAGAGAGCAACTGGTGGTGGTGCGACTAGGGTCATCCAAACCACTGCCACCTCCACGTTGCGTCGAAGGCAAGTGCCCCCGCCTCCTCCCAGGCTGACCATTCCCCGCCGCCCCAAAGAGGTCAAGTGGATCATGAAGCCATCACACAACTTTGTGCCGTGCAGCGAATCATCCTCCGAGGACAACATCCCCGATAAGTCCGATATACCCCACGAGGGGGATGATGATCTGGCTAACAAAGTGGACAAGACCAGGAGCAGTCGAAGATTGCCGGCTGAATACGTTGGCCAGGCAAAAACCAAGGTGCGATCCTCTCGCATGTTCCGTGTGCCCAGCCAGCGAATCATGCGCGTCGAGGAGCTGAAGCAGGCCCAGCTGCAGCAGATGCATCCGCGGAGGACGAGGACCCAGAACCAGACCCATTCCAGCAGTCGTTCACGAAGTAGGTCTCCCAACTGGTCAGCCAGTAGGTCACCAAGTCCATTGCCCCATCAATCGCCCTCTAGGTATCCAGGTAGCTCGTCCAGTCGTTCAGTAAACCAACCCAGTCCCAGTCGCCTGCCATCGGAAGATGAGGAGCAGCAGCAGCAGCTGAAGGATGTGCCCCTCGAAGCTTCCAGAACCGTAACCCTGCTACCCGAACCGCCCTCTGGCCTGATTTCCTGCTCGCCTAGTCCGATCGCAAGTCCCTATCCCAGCCAGAGTCGCCTCCAGAGTCCAAACATGAGTAGTACCTGTTGGAACTCCAGCTGCTGTACCATGGAGACCTGTGTAAAAAGTTATACTTCCAGCTCAACTCCATCCTCGATCACCAGCAGCAGTCTCAGCACCAGTGGAAGCGAATGCCGAGGTGGGCACAGACCGACCATCAAGCGATTGAATCGTCCAGTCCGGATGGCCACAGGTGGATGGGGCACGAAAGCCATCAAACTGACATCGACGGTGATTGAGATCATTAAGCCGGATACATCGACAGAGGTCAAGAGCTTCCCCGAGGTTCCCAGGAAGGAAGTGGTGCCCGCTCCACAGGCCAAGATCAACTCGGTTATTAAACCAAAAGGACAGGCGGAAACGAGGCAGGCCATGAATGCTCCCATGGTCCAATCGATTGCGCCACCAAAGTTCACACCAAAGGTTCAGGTGCCCAATCCAATCAGCCAGTCGGTTAACTATGTCGTCAATCAACTGACGGCCCAACTTAAGGAGGCCGCGATGATTCAGTCGAAGGATGAGCACAAGCAGCCCAAGGAACAAGCTTTAAAGGATCAAGATGTCTACCAATCATGGCTATCAAAGGCTCCATCGAGAAAGCCCTCCATTTATCTCCTCATGAATCAGCCGGAAAAGCAGCCAGAGACTTTATCAAACGAACCTTCCAAGGATGCGTGGGTTATTCAACCAATGGAGCAACCAAAGGATACATTTATAAATTTGTATTCAAATTCGCCAAGGGATCAATCACGAAACCAGCATACCAATCATTATTTGGACGAACCTAAAGACCATTCTAGACTACATTCAAGTCGTTATACGAATCCACCAAAGGTAGGAGCGGTTAACCAGCAGATGAGTGAATCAATGGGCCAGGCAAGGCAGCATTTGATAAGTCATGGCACGAATCCTCTAAAGTACACGATTCCGCCAAAGAACTGGGAAAGAAATCCATCGCAAAACCAGTCGAGTTCTTTAATACCTCAGTCGAGGATCTCAAAGAATCCATACATTGAGGAATCCAATAGACTATCTAAGCTTCAGGCCAAGACCCAGCGAGCACCTTCGAGGGCGAAGAGCCCGCCGGTTTCGCTGAACAGGATCAACCGGCCATCCACATCCACTGGAGGCCCGTATGTAGTTCCTCCATCTCCTCCACGACCGCAGCAGCAGCAGCAGCCGGAAGCCCCGACGGGCAGCAAGATTGTCCGAAAGACGCAGCACAAGGTGCCGCGTACCATGGAGGATGGCATCGACATGAGCTACCAGTACTTTGTATCCATTCCTCTCAAGCGGGGCAAGAAACCGCAGGTGGTGCGCTATCTCTACCGCCCGATGGTGCGCCAACTAAACGCACCCACTTCGCCCACTCGACGCAACTCTAGGCGCTCGAAAAAGAGAGCGGCGGCAGGCGGAGATGAGGCACCCGCAGCGGAAGATGGTTCCCAACAGATGGATCCCGATCTGAAAGCTCTGGGTGGAATGCCACTGCCGCTGGAGGATCGACCAAGTGCTCAGGAGAAATCACCAGAACCGGAAGGTAAATCGAAAATCCTTCTCGATCCGGAAGAAGTGCTGAATGCTCCATATGAGGTTCCACCACTTAAGCTGGATGCCCGCTTCAAGTCCATGATGGAGCAGCTGGCCCAGATGCCGTATCCCGAAGAGCGAGCCAATCGTGGTCTTCGGCGCTCCAACCGCCGAGCACGCGCCGCCGGTGGCGCTGACCAGGCGCCTCCATCCGAGCAACACGTTGGCACTGGAGGCGGCGATGCCGTACGCAATGAAATGCGCTCCCTGGAGCAGTTGTCGTCCATCTGGAAATCTGGTTCCCGACTGCCCAAGCTGGTTAACTATCGACCGGAGGCCAATCGTCTTAGCACGGTCACTGGAGCCCCGATTTCCTATCACACGCCCGTGCAAATTAGTGAAGTGGACTCGGGCCACTTTGTGCTGCCGGTGGAACCCATGATTCAGGCGGTAACCTACGACGACATCGAGCAGAAGGAGAGGAACCAAGTGGAGGAGCAGCAGCTGCCACTGGAGACGGAGACGGAGGCTCTTCCTCTAGAGAAACCCCAAGAGGGAGCCACTGTCATGATCAAATCCGTGAGCTTTCATCCCGGCGACGTGAAGGTGAGTGAAATCCCTGCCAGGAGCGTGAGCAGCAGCTCCATCAGCATCAGCTCCACTTCCAGCAGCAGCTGTGGCAGAACCAAGACCAAGGGACGCCGGACTTTACGGAAGAGCAAGGGCAAGTCCAAGGGAAAGGCCAAAATCCGCAAGTGAAGAGAAATTCTTGGCAACAACAATATACATTTCGGACATTTTTTAAAACTCATCAAAAATTTCAAGTGAATTTGTAGCAAGGAAAAGCCCCAATGCTTTTGTAAAACATTTTGTAAACAATATAAAAAAAGAATAGAAGCAAATTCCCCTTTTAAGACATCGAATCTTGGTGTTCCTCAATTATTTTGATGGTAGGTGAGCTAACTAGAGATCGGAACTTTGGTATGATACAATCATATAAAAAATAAATCACAATTTGATTTATTAGGTGAACAATTTCATTTTACCAAAAGATCGCTTGAAATCCTGTGTTTTAAGTACGATTTTGCATATATTTCAATGTCTATTAATAATAACATAAATATTTTTTAATATTTATGATACAGATTATATTTCAAAATTATAACTAATGCATCAATCAATGCACCAAAATTTCTACTAAATTATTATATCTCAAAAAGTCGAACTTTATTTTTATAAGAATTCAATGGTGGTGGCAATGATTTCACATATTACAAAAAGAATATGAGTCATTTCCTTTTTTGGATGTTTATCCAATCTTGAAATTCCTAAATTAATCAGATGGAAAGTTTAATAACGCATAATTACTGTATTATATAATATTATAAATAATATTACTATATGATATGTTATATTATTTATGAGATATGTCAGTTAACAACCTTCAAAGCTCAAATTTCTGCTAAGCCAGTACGTTTCTAAGAGACCAAACATATTTTTATAAGGATTCAACTTAATGGTGAAGGCGATGACTTCACCTGGCGCACCTGTAAAAGGTCAAGGGTGGGGGAATCCAGGTCAAGGCCCTGCTGGGACTATTGCTCAATGTCAGGGTGCTGGTCATTAGCGTAGAACCTGAGTCTGAGACTAAAAGGAAGCGATAGCCCACCACTGCGATAATGGAACCGCTAGAAATAGATTTGAATTAGCTGAAGTGGCTCGCATACAATTCCCTAATGTTTTAATATAACCAACAGCGTTGGTTTTTTATTGTATTGATTATTATTAACAAACATTAATTGGAATTGGAATTTATTTAAATTAATTGAAGGTTACTTTTACTTTGAGAAGTTACTTTCAAGATTTAATTTCACTAGAATAATGGCAAGTCCTTTTCTAATACTTGACACATTTCTAAAAGCAATCAATTAGTCACCCGTGATTCCGCCTAATGCAAAGTGATCACTTAACCTTGACGCAAGGCCTCGCCCTGCACCACCCCAAACATGTCCACTCAATGGGACTCAACCCAAGAGAACCGAGCCAAAGTCCCCACATCGAATGTAGGAATTAGTTCCAATTAGAAGCGCCGGCGGTTCTACCTAATGAATGGCCCCAAAGGTGTCAATGTGCTGACTGCGCAGCCAGCACAAACAAAGTGTTTACTATGCAGCATAGGGTACACATAGGTGTATTTCTGGGCTGGGCAATCGAATTGAATGTGATTTCGATATCGGTTACTGGGTCGTTGTCCAACGCCGCAAATGTCTACAGTCCAAAACAAGCGACCATAGAGCCAAGCCAGGGGTAATACAAATAAACAAATAGCCTCAACTATGTCCAATTAAGATTTATGATGAAAGTCAAGGGCACCGCAGAGAAGGGAAATGCGGTGGAAAATTTCTCAACGTTCTGCTATACCGAGTTAACGATTCCCTCGAGCTTTTGAGAGCCCCTAAGCATCTAACAACAGGCCGCTTATCAATTTCAGATGCACTCACTCACCCAAATCGATTCGACGGCTAGATAGGAAGACACCATAGACAGACCCGGATAGATAGAAGGCGGCAGATAGGCGGGGCCAATCGACAAAGCCCCAACTGATTGTCTTATCGGCAGACGTGGAGGTGAAGTGCGTCCGTTGGACTTACAACGATCGGGGGAATCAGGAAATTGGGTCGTCTGGGCGGGACTTGAATGATTAAGTGAGTATCTTAGGTCATTCTCGATATACAATTTAATTAGGAGCTTGAGGACAGATTTTAGTGGTGGTATTTCAGGCCTAATATGGTATACAATATATGATTAAATGACTAACCCAGGTCATTCTTGATATAACATTTAATAATAAACTTGAAAACTCATTTTAGTAATGGTATTAAAATATAAAAAAAAACTTAAATACACAAAGAGAACCTAAAAGTCATATACCCCTTTTCAAGGGTATCGAGAGAGGAAGCATGTGATGAGCGCTTATCCAAGTTTGCCGCTGTGATAAAGTAGATTGAGCCAATTCCCGTCCAGAGATCGGGTTGTATAACACCTGTATAATGTATAGCCCGGCACTCTCTGTTTCATCATGACCATATACATGTGTAATCGCAGGGGAAAGGAGGCGGGTGGAACTCAATTTAAGAGCGCTAAGCAATTCTACACACAGTTTAATTAACACTTTGGACTGCGGGGGCAATAGTTTTGCAAAGGGGATACTGTTGTTGGGCAATTACCAAAGAATAGTGGCTTACAATTTCGAATCCGTCGCATTGAAATGCTGGGAAATTTGATTCCCGGAATTATTTGAATTCGTTTATTATCTTTAAGGCATGCGCCAATGTTTTGATGCGCATTCAGGCGTTGTTTAAAGATCGTGTTGCTATGAAAATAAATAAAGAATTTCTCTTGAGGAAGTGTGCCAAATGAGTAGGTTTATGGTCATAAGAATTTGAAGGGGCACATTTTGTTGGCTGGCGTTTGACAAAGTTCGATTAAATGGGGGTTGTGAATTATGATTTAATTTGAAAGCTGGCTCGCCTTGAGTTAAACCCGTTCTAACCCCGTCCCTCCATCGTCCACATGGACCCCCTGCCCACTTTCCGCATCCCACGCCCGCAACGAGACCTTGACCCGCATGTCGCGATGCGAGATGATGATATAAATCAGCGGCGACTAAGGAACGCCATTGCCGAATGTCGGGGACACCAGCCGACGTCCAGATGGGATATATATGCATTATACAAAGCCATCTGTCTGCGTCTGTTTGCAGACACCGATAGGAAGGGCCCTTCAAACTGGGCAAGGCACTATAAATTCGCCACTAAATAAATTTCCATAGATAACGCTAAGGGTACTGGAAAAATTTAAGTACCTCACCCTTGTCTATGATGGAGTATTGTTCCTAATCTTATTAGGCTTGCACTTTGGGAAAATAGTTTCTGTTTCATAAAACAAGCGCGCAGTTTTATAGAGTGAATCACCCATTTGATTGATAGTGAGAATACCTGTTAACGACGTAATCGATGACACCATAATGTACTTCATCTCTACAATTTTCTGAAATTTATGCCTGAACCTGAGATAGGCTCGCTGAACTCCAGGAAATAGTTGACCTACAATGGCAAATCTACCTATAGAATATCAGCCAGAAACTGCACGAAACTAAACTATTCCAGTTGAACTTATGGAAATAGTGAACCCAAACACACATACTTCGGTTTCTATTTCTATAGAATTATATAAGTATTAAAATCGCATAATTTAATTGAATGAATCGTACATGTACGTGGAGAGAACTCAATTTCGGGTAAGGGTGATGGCCCCTCCAGGGTTTTCTGGGAAAGGGGACCTGCGTAATGGCTCCCCCACACATATCGCACCACCAACCACTCCGCCCACTGCATAACGCAAGTGCAGCGAGTGCGTGTGTGGGTGGCATCGCGGGAAAATCAATAGGAATGTGCGTGCAGCACTCGGATCCGTGTGGTCCCTCTACTCACTTGTTGGTGATCTCCAGAACGTCGGACATCATCAGACGGTACTTGCTGCGGAACCGCTGGCCATGGCTCGTCTCCAGCAGGTACTTGTTGCAGAAGTCGGTCAGCGAGACGAAGTAGATGAATCCCAGCGAGGTGAGGACCAGTCCGCGCTGCAGCGAGATGCGGTCACTGCTGTTGGGTATCTGCCACAGGCTGCCGCATGCCAGACCCATCGAACCGATGGAGAAGGCCAGCGAGAAGTAGCAGCCGCGTCGCGGTGCCTTGCTTGTTGCATCCTTTTTTTCCGCCGCATCCTGGGGCTGGGACTGGGACTGCTCCTCCTGGCGGGCTTCTCCTCCTCCGCTGCCATTCACCGGCTGGCGGCGCTGCTGCATCCTGGCGGCGAATGCACCACTCTACCTTCGGCTGGCTCACTCGGCGTCGGCGGGGTAAACACTTCTTGTGGGGTGGGGGGGGCTCAACCTGTTGCGGGTACCGGGAATCGGGCTCCGGTCACCTGACCCTGACGCTTCTGCTCCCGCTGACTGCGGGCGTACTTCTCTTGGCGGCTGCTTACAGGCGGCACTGCGTCTGGGACATGGCGGCTGGGCGAACGGGAGGAGCTGGAGCTGGAGCGGATTCCTCTGGATTGATTGATTGTTAACATCGATGTCATCGATGTTTTCAAAACATCGGTAGCTTAGCATCGATGTTTGGCCAGCCAACATCGATACTCCTGAAATCGAAGAGGAAGAGAAGAGAACTATCGGCGGATCGGATGAATAGGAGGATTAAAGGAGGAAAAGAACACGGATTAATAAAAATGTACTTACATATTTCGGATTGTCACCTGGGCTTGAGTTGAAGAAAGCAACGGTGGATTTTTAACATGAAAGTTATCTTTACCGTATGTATTTATCGAGCAAATATACCGACCGCTGCAAATAAGTATATTTTTAATACCATTCTTGCATTTTTTAAAATACTCCAAGCGGTCACTCTAATAAATCGGTTTCAAAAGAAATCTTTCGAATTTTCACTGAACTTTAACGATTATTAACATCCTCGTTAAATTTTCTTGAAAGTATACTCTAATATTCCAAGCTTTTGCAAAGTATACCTATTTATACCAATAACAATGCGCGATAACAGCAGAGGTTTATTGCCGTTAACCGTTGAAAAATACCAATTTGTTGGTCTAAATACTGGATATGCTCGATAGGCATCGTTTAGAGTATTCGGAAAACGAAATATTCGATATACTATTCTCTTCTCAAAATATATTTTAAAAAATCGTTTTCAAATTCTTAACAACTATATTGCACTTAAAAATACAATTTTTATTTTCAAACTATTTCCTCAACAAGACAACTTTAAAGATTAAAAAAAACAAGTCAGTGCCGAATAATAATTATTAAATCTTACCAGACGTAATCTAACTTATTTTGACTTTTTTTTTAAATAAAACGACTTTGTGGGGCACACTGTACTCCATTCCTTAAATCAACATGTACTTTTCTGGGCTTACTCGCTGCATATGTTTTTAAAAAAAGTACTTGTTTACTTTGTCGTGAAAAATAGCAGGGCTGCTGCCTAAATATATAGGTCGTTCCATTCACTACTCATTCAGGCTTATGACTGCTTGCAATTTTTGTAAACAACTCAGTAGTTATCCGCATATGAGTCCGAAATGACACGTTCCGTATCTTCGCCGTGGACTATCCATATAATTTTGGTCCTAACGGCTGCTCTTGCATCTGGTCAGAATTATTGTGACCCGGCGCTTTGTCCGAATGGCCGACATGTGGCCTGTCAGAGCAGCGGAGTAAGTTTCTCTATTAAAAAACATTTTGTTGAAAATTTGTAAGAACTTACTTTGATTATATTTTTTTCGAATTTTGACCATCTTGTCTGTATTTAAGTGTGTTGGTCTAACCTCACCTGAAGAATTCGCGGATAACTAAAAGATTGGGTTGAAATATCACACTGACCTTTGTTCTCGTTTAAATTTTCGAGAAGCCAATTTGTTGCAGCCCAGATTACAAATAAGTGAGGCATTTTTGCAAAAAAAAAGTTTAATGAAAAAAACAAATTTTATATAAGATCCTTTAAAACAAAATTATTAACGAAATTTGTATTTCTAGTTTAAAACAGATCCGAAATCATTGTCATATTTCCCCGTAGTGTAACTTCGTCTCGCGAATTCTTCAGCACTCAATGATCTAAAGATAGAAAGTCCTTAAAGTTAAAGCTGAAACAAAACAGAATTGATTTTGGCTTACTTCCAACCGCCTGAAATAGCGCTTCGTGAGCGGTTGCAGCGGGGAGTTTGTTGCAGTGGACCCCCAAATCCCGCTGATCCTGCAGCTGCACAACGAGCGCCGCAACCTGATCGCTGGCGGGGGAGTGAGCGGCTTTCCCAGCGCAGGGCACATGGGCACCATGGCCTGGGATGCGACTCTGGCCCAACTGGCCGCCTACAATGCGCTGCAGTGCCGCATGGCGCACGACGAGTGCAGGAACACCAACACATATCGCTATGCGGGCCAGAACCTCAGCATACTCTTCACCCGGAACGTGGATGTAGCAGTCTTTCTGCGCCAGAGAATTGCTGCCTGGTTCGATGAGAATCGCGATGCCACGAGTGCGGATATGGAGAATTACCAGATGCGGGGTGGTCCGTGAGTACCTTGCATTACCAAAGAGTGCTGTAAACGTTGCATCCTGCATCCTGCGCAGTTGCAGCTGATTCATCGTTTACGGCTGTCAAAATTACCTCGACTATATCATATAATATATATATATATTTTAGGGCAATCGGACACTTCACCACCATGGTGAACGAGCGCAATAATAGAGTGGGATGTGCCATCGCGCGTTTTACGGACTCCAATGGGGTACAGGCCACCTTGCTGGCCTGTAACTATGCGGTCACGAATGTCCTGAACAACCCAGTCTATAGGGCGGGTGCTGCCGCCTCAGAGTGTACAACAGGTCGGAACTCCAACTATCCCAATCTCTGCTCACCGAACGAGGTCTACAACTACAACCAGTGGTCGGGATGATAAAGTCAGTCTTATCCAGGAGGGATTCGAGAATTCTCATACCAATTCTCTGTATTTCCAAGCCGTCTATGGTTGGAAGAGTATTCTGTGACATCCCCCTGTATTCTGCAAACCATCAAGAATAAATGAACTGTCCTAAAATGTTACTAACAGATTTAGCCCTTTTTAAAAGCTCCCTTACTTAAATAACCAAAAAATATACTTGGTTTTCCCAAAGAAACGTTCGAAGTAGACCAAATACATATGGAAATGTCCATTTGGCATCAAGTTGGCCATGGTTTTTTATTCTTAATAGGGTTCGAATTTAAGGGAAACAGTACATTTAGGAAGCTTTATCCTTCTTTGGATACATTTTTGGGGACAAATTGTCAGGTGTTTTGTCCCGCTTGCGCTTACGCTCGTCCTTTAAACGGCCAAAGGCATTCTCTTTCTCCATTTGAGACCACTCCCTCCTATTTCAGAAATTATAACCAATAAAAGAGCTAAGTGATATTTTTGTTTGGAAACACTTACTGCGGATTGAGGTTTGCATCGGAAGCCATGTCTTCACGTACAAATTCCTCGATATCGAAGTTCATCATCTCCCTAGAAATTATACAAAAATTGTTTTGAGGGCACACTTTTAGATGTGGTTTGTAGCACAGCCGGATAAAAGTGAGAATGGGCGAATAAAAAGTCGAACGGGAAACTTTTGGCATTTGAATGACATTTGACATTTATATAGAGGCCCTCTTATTTATGAAAAATTACAAGACTATTTAATTGATAGCACCCAAACAGCAAATATGTGCCTTAAATAAGCCAAATAGTTTAGATAAAAAGCCGTTAAATTTAAAAAGTGGGAAACCCGTAAAATGGGAAGGGGGTTCGATAGACTCGACCACTCCTTCGATTCCTTTGACTCCCCCCTATTTCAGAAATTACACTTGAAACACTTACTGTTCTTCAAAATCAGAGTTATATCCCTGACTCCCGGAGGCCATAGCCAAATCAGCTCCTGTTTCCTGGCGTCTGAAGTTGTTCCTATTTCAGAAATTATAACAAATAAAAGAGCAAAGTGATATTTTTGTTTGGAAACACTTACGGCGGATTGCGGTCTGTATCAGATTCCTCATGATCAGAGTTGAATCCCTCACTCCCGTATGCAATAGCCGAATCAGATAGCGATCTCTGGCGTAAGAAGTAGTTACCGCGATTCATCATTTTCTTCCTATTTAAGAAACTATAGCAAACAAGAGCTACGTGATAATTTTGTTTCGAAACCTTACTGCGAGTTGCGGTCTGTATTGGATGCGTATTCTTCAGAGCTTTCGGAGCTAGCCTCTAGTTCGGCAAGCGATTTGAAGACTTTATCGCGGTTCATTATTATGATCTTAACCGAAAATGGTTTTAATTATTTAGAGGTTTTTTTGAAGGCACAATTTTAGATGTGGTTTGTAGCACAGCCCGATTGCAAGTGAGCCTGGGCGAATAAAAATTCGAGCAGGAAATGTTTTGCACGTTTAACAATTATTTCAACGCCCCCTTATTTATGAAAAATTTCAAAACGATTTGTGAATTAACAGAAAAATATTGTTAAAAAAAAAATGGTTTTATTTATTTAGAGTTTTTTTTTAAGGCACAATTTTAGATGTGGTTTGTAGCACAGCCGGATTGCAAGTGAGCCTGGGCGAATACAAATTCGAGCAGGAAATGTTTTGCACCTGAATGACGTTTGACATTTATTTCAACGCCCTCTTATTTATAAAAAATTTCAAAACTATTTGCTTATAGCACCCAAGCACAGCAATTATGTGCCTTTAATAAACCAAATCATTCAGACAAATATATTGTTTGAAAAGTCTAAAAAAACTGCAAGAAACTCCCTTAAAATTCAAAAAATGGGAAACCCATTAAATCGGATGGGGTATTCGCTAGACTAGGTCTAGGCGGCTGTACTCGCTTTGCCAGGAGGGAGAATCCGCTAAGTCAGATTTTAACATATCTATCGATAGGTAGCCTCGATATCAACACATCGATATTTAAATCGACTTGAACCATTCGATTTATAATTTAATTTATGTTAATTTATTTAATTTAACTTAAATTTAACTATCCCAATCTCTGCTCACCGAACGAGGTCTACAACTACAACCAGTGGTCGGGATGATAAAAGTCAGTCTTATCCAGGAGGGATTCGAGAATTCTCATACCAATTCTCTGTATTTCCAAACCGTCTATGGTTGGAAAAGTATTCTGTGACATCCCCCTGTATTCTGCAAACCATCAAGAATAAATGAACTGTCCTAAAATGTTAGTAACAGATTTAGCCCTTTTTTAAAGCTCCCTTACTTAAATAACCAAAAAATATACTTGGTTTTCCCAAAGAAACGTTCGAAGTAGACCAAATACATATGGAAATGTCCATTTGGCATCAAGTTGGCCATGGTTTTTTATTCTTAATAGGGTTGGAATTTAAGGCAAACAGTACATTTAAAACCATTTTGTTTCTTAACTGTTCCGCCCTCCTCGACCTCATTCGGCACAATGGTTGTACCACAGGAACGTCGGCCTCTATTTAAGAAATTACAACAATCAAAAGAGCTAAGCGATAATTTTGTCTAAAAACACTTACTGCGAATCGGATGCACTATTTCCGGAGTTGGCATTTTCTTCCCCGGATGCCATAACCGAATTAGGTACTTTTACTACCAGTTCAGCTACAGAGCGCATAGCCTCGTCCTTCTTGCAAATGAAGGAAGCTTTTTCCTTCTTTGGATACATTTTTGGGGACAAATTGTCAGGTGTTTGGTCCCGCTTGCGCTTACGCTCGTTCTTTAAACGGCCAAAGGCGTTCTCTTTCTCCATTTGAGACCACTCCCTCCTATTTCAGAAATTATAACCAATAAAAGAGCTAAGTGATATTTTTGTTTGGAAACACTTACTGCGGATTGAGGTCTGCATCGGGAGCCTTGTTTTCAGAGCCTGAAGTTTCGCCCTCGGACTCCTCAATCAAAGAATGTACAGATTCCTCGCGATCAAAGTTGCTACCGCGGTTCATCAACTCCCTAGAAATTATACAAAAATTGTTTTGAGGGCACACTTTTAGATGTGGTTTGTAGCACAGCCGCATAAAAGTGAGAATGGGCGAATAAAAAGTCGAACGGGAAACTTTTGGCATTTGAATGACATTTGACCAGTTATATCAAGGCCCTCTTATTTATGAAAAATTACAAGACTATTTAATTGATAGCACCCAAACAGCAAATATGTGCCTTAAATAAGCCAAATAGATTAGATAAAAAGCCGTTAAATTTAAAAAGCGGGAAACCCGTAAAATGGGAAGGGGGTTCGATAGACTCGACCACTCTTTCGATTCCTTTGACTCCCCCCTATTTCAGAAATTACACTTGAATCACTTACGGCGCATTGGTGTCTGTATCCTCCGGTTCTTCAAAATCAGAGTTGGATCCCTCATTCCCGGAGGCCATAGCCAAATCAGCTCCTGTTTCCTGGCGTCTGAAGTTGTTCCTATTTCAGAAATTATAACAAATAAAAGAGCAAAGTGATATTTTTGTTTGGAAACACTTACGGCGGATTGCGGTCTGTATCAGATTCCTCATGATCAGAGTTGAATCCCTCACTCCCGTATGCAATAGCCGAATCAGATAGCGATCTCTGGCGTAAGACGTTGTTACCGCGACTCATCATTTTCTTCCTATTTAAGAAACTATAGCAAACAAGAGCTACGTGATAATTTTGTTTCGAAACCTTACTGCGAGTTGCGGTCTGTATTGGATGCGTATTCTTCAGAGCTTTCGGAGCTAGCCTCTAGTTCGGCAAGCGATTTGAAGACTTTATCGCGGTTCATTATTATGATCTTAACCGAAAATGGTTTTAATTATTTAGAGGTTTTTTTGAAGGCACAATTTTAGATGTGGTTTGTAGCACAGCCCGATTGCAAGTAAGCCTGGGCGAATAAAAATTCGGGCAGGAAATGTTTTGCACGCGAATGACGTTTAACTATTATTTCAACGCCCCCTTATTTATGAAAAATTTCAAAACGATTTGTGAATTAACAGAAAAATATTGTTAAAAAAAAAAATGGTTTTATTTATTTAGAGTTTTTTTTTAAGGCACAATTTTAGATGTGGTTTGTAGCACAGCCGGATTGCAAGTGAGCCTGGACGAATACAAATTCGAGCAGGAAATGTTTTGCACCTGAATGACGTTTGACATTTATTTCAACGCCCTCTTATGTATGAAAAATTTCAAAACTATTTGCTTATAGCACCCAAGCATAGCAATTATGTGCCTTTAATAAGCCAAATCATTCAGACAAATATATTGTTCGAAAAGTTTAAAAAAACTGAAAGAAACTCCCTTAAAATTCAAAAACTGGGAAACCCATTAAATCGGAAGGGGTAATTGCTAGACTAGGTCTAGGCGGCTGTACTCGCTTTGCCAGGAGGGAGAATCCGCTAAGTCAGATTTCAACATATCTATCGATAGGTAGCCTCGATATCAACACATCGATATTTAAATCGACTTTAACCATTCGATTTCAACAAAAACATGGCCAAATCGATGACTGTTTAGTTTATATTTTTACTCTTTGGTATAATTTTGAGTAGTTGGACACGGTCTAACCCTTTGCAACACTAGGTTTGTGTACGCGATATGTCATGCGGAAGTCTCCGCTAGGTCAGCGAAGACACGTTTCTGTGTGCAATGCGTTATCGATGTTCCAGAAGTATCAGGGTATCGATGATGACATCGATGTTCCCTCACCGCTAGCGTTCGTGTTTTATTTTTCTCAACTCAACGGCTGAAATAACGGTTGAACAATGGCGAAGAGTGTCGGTGGTGCGTGCGCGCAAATTGCGATCCTTTTGGCCATACTCTGCGGTGCATCGGGCCTGTGTAAGTGCAATCTATAGTTGGCCGCCAGCTGGCCATTGTACGGAATGAAAACACCCGTCTTCACCTTTCCGCCATCTCTTTTGTTTTATCATATCTCTCTTTTACCCACCTCGCTGGTGTGCGTATGTGTGTGTGTGTGTGTGTGAGTGCGAGTGTGTGAGTGTTGGCTGTAAATCTGGTTGTTATTTTCTTGTACGCTACGCAGTTTGAAAATCTCGAAAAGTCCAACAAAAGGCGAAGAAATACCTGGAAAAAAGATGGGCGAAGGGAGGGCCATGCACATATGGCCAGTTTTCTGAGGGTGTATTTATATATTAACAGCCTGTTGTTTGTACACAAAGTCCACAAAAAGCCAAAAGACAAATTCATTACGGCAGTGGCGGTGGGCTGGTGAGGGGGATGATCACCAAAGGGGGGAGACGGCCATTCGGTACTTTTTCGTATGGTGAAATTTACCGCTGCCATGTTGTATCTTTTTTTTTTCTGTTTTTTTTTTCTCGTGTGCTGGCACATCAAATGCGTTAATTGACAACAACGAAAAGCCAAATGTTCGAGTGCCTGCGTGAGCAGTTCAGTGTGAAAATAGGCAACGTCCTGTGGCCTGAGGCCCCCCTTCAACAAAGTAAACCAACTCCCACCGCCACTGGCTTTTTATTTTTGAGTTTTGTTTTGTGCGACGCGCTCATTTGCGCCATGCTCCACTTAACGTGCAACAATTTTCCATCTGCGACGTCGCCGTCAGGCGAACAACCTGCATATATCAATTGAAATCGCTGATTAAGGCGCAAAGCTCATTGTTTTTGTCGCAATTTGCAATTGAAACGCTGGAGCTGAAAAAAAAAAAAAAATAAAACCCTCGGGCTGGCAACTCTCTTGCCACCGTTAATTTCGCTTTCGCGCGTTTACTGCGACAGGTGGCAACTTTGCTCGCCGGCTAACGGCACTTTTTAGTTTTCCCCAAAAATAAAAGATGGAAAACGGTGGAAAATCGCTTACGTAACGGGTAATACCACCCCATCCACCGCCCACTTTGCACAGTTTCAGTTATTTCCGTCTTGTTTATTCAGTTTGTGCGACATTTAGCTTTCTTTGTCTGCTTATCGGCTCATTTACCCAGTTATTTACTCATTTATTTATCGCCAACCAACCATCAGTTAAAGTGCATTGCTTATCTGCGTGGCCAACTTATGTGCCGTGCACACTGTTCCCTTCTTTCGGTGTGAGAACAGGTGTATTTTCCAGCATTTAGCTTGGGGAAGAAAATCTGCGGCCTTATGACACTAGCTTAAAATTCTAATAACTATCTGAATTTATTAAAAAAAATTACCAGCCTATGGCCGACTTAAGGCAGACTTAAATAAATTTTTAAATGTCATATTAAACTAAACAGGATTTTCTCCAGGTTGTCAAGACTTTTTAAAGGTATTACACGGCCTTATAACATAAACGCTTTGACGTAATATATAAAATCCCCTTTTTTCTCTGGGTTCCCAGGTGTTTTTTTTTAATTAAAGCCAGTGTCATTAGGTCATAAGCACCAATGCCTTGATTAATTACCCTTAACTATGTTAACATGTCCAGCTATTTGCAATATAAAGTTATTTACTCCTAACCAACTGACTGATTGTATGATTTTTCAGACAACCACACATCTAAAAAAAACTTTTCACCAAGATAAAAGATATTTTTTCTTATCAGGTTTGATTATTCACACCTTTCCAACAAGTACTACGTCTTTGTTTGTTTTGCTCTTGCAAATAATGTTCAGACCAGAAGCCAACAAAAATCAATTAAAATCGATATTCGAAAGGTGGTTTAAAGGGGAAAAAAAATCGCCAGGCTCCTAAACCCTCTTTCCTCTGCTATCAGCAAAAACCCGCATTCGAACCACTATTAGATAAACCCGCATTTAGCCCAAATCGTATAGACTCGCATATCTGCAGCGGAATTCCAATTGTAATTTTGCAACCCACTCTCTCCATTGCATTTGCATCTGGCGTCAGTCCGCTACTGGCACCACCGCTTATCAAGGGCATTCGCTGATTGCTCCAATCTCTGGAAGCTGGCTTCTGTCCACTGGCATCATCCGGGCACACTCCTCCCGTTCTGCAGCTCGCAAATCTGCTCCGAATCACCCATCCCCGTCGCATATCCGGCACTCCTAAATGATGACTAGTTCTAAACTTGCATAAGCCTGGGAAATGCGAAAATTCCTGGAATAACAAAGAAAATGAACAGATATTACTTAGCTGTTATCAACTCTATGCACTTAGTAAGTGGTTCTCACTATCAGTTTTTATAAATTCCTGTTAAATGATTTAATAGTAGGTTACACTAGTTCGACCTATCATCGACAGTGTATAGATTGTTTGTTGTTCGGGGAAAAATAATTAAACGATTAAACGTATTCGTATAAAATGGGAATATATTTAAATGTAGTGCAGGAAAATACAAACAATCTTAAGCAATAAGTAATGGATTTTACCCATGGAAACATGGCGTTTAAAAAGTCAACAAAGTGTGATTGAAAACGTGAACCATCCCGACATGATTCCCCATTCAAGACGTGTTTCCCCAATTCGGTTATCTACCAATTTCCGTTGTTTACTCAAAGCCGGGTGTCAAAAATGTCAGGTCAGCAACTCTGATGACTGATGACTATACAGACATATGGCAGACTAAGCAATTTCTTCCCAACCAAAGGAAACTACGAGGCCTCGGGTGCGAAAGGTACAACAGGTTATCTTTGGTAGGTGATATTGCCGGCGTGGTGTGCTTTAAAACAGGTTTCTTCGATGGGGGCTGTTTCTATTTGAAATATTTGCATGACCCCCTCACATGTCATTTCAGTTCTACAGTTTTTAAAATAAAAGAACAAGAGAGTGATCAAAAAATAAGGACTAAGCTGCTGAACAGAGTCAATGCTGCGTAGTTCTTATTCATGGAAGTTTATAGACCCCAACTGTGTAGCCCTCGATGGAACCAAACAACTGCGACCCATTGTGGATCCGCAAGATCTGCGCATTTCGACAAATGCATCTTTTGTCAATGTTTCTCTTGGCCATGGGAAGATCATTAGCTCCAGAGCATCATTATGATCTGGTTGCCCTGCCGTTCGTTTCTCGGAATAAAAAGCTGCGGCTTTCCATCGTTTTGCCTCGTGGTGAAAGGGGTAAAAGAGGGGGGCTGATAAGCTTTTCCGGCTAACGGGGTCAGAAGAACTGTTAGTGCCTTGGCACTCCGGCCACGTCTGTCCAGTAGAAACTACGGATACGAATGCAAGGCATCGGGTACACAGAAAAAATAGAAGGACCAGAAACCACTATATAAATTGCTTATGTTCGAAAATACCAACAAAATGGTAATATAATGAAAATATTACAAAAATATTTAAAATTATACAAACAAATTCCAGCAGGTAACGGTGGGTGTTGAACTCTGACTGTTACGAATACGGTTTCGAACTATACTGTTGTATGGGAATAAATATCCCAACTTAACAAAAACACCTCTATGGTTTCTACCTTGAATTGTATATTAAAAATTTATGTTTATGAGTCTCTAGTGATGATAAAAAGTGGTGATTTAGTAATTACTATGTCCCATAAACATTGCTAAAGACGTGTTGTCAGAGTGTTTTCACAAAAATACATAATTACAGCATAGTGGAAAATGTTAGTTAACGAGATAGTGAAGGAACCTTTAATGCCGAAAATGTATAATTAAAATATTTTTATATTTCTTATTTTCTTACATAGATTAGGTTATTAAATATTTTATTTTGAACTTTCCCACTCGATATTTCTTAGGATGTGTAAAGTTCTTATTAGATATTACTCCCATATCTAAACGCTGTGAACAAAGTATAGTATGTTTTTTTTTCCGGTGTAGTTGGGTTCGTGTACGTGTTCTACCGCCCGTTAATTAACTGGACAAGTTCAGGTAAAAGCGTGCGACGCAAATTGCCCGTCGAAGCGTCGGTGCAAGGCAGACGTTTTTAGGGAAACGCTGATAAACTCGTCACCGCCCCTGACGAACCGCTAATCAGTGAGATGCAGGTGGAAATTATGGAGTAGTAATATAGTTTAAATTAGTCCAAACAAGAAAACAAATCAGCAACAGAGCAAACTTAAGTTGCTTTTCCTAATGATCTAGCTTCATTAATAAAATCTTAACCGCTTTTTATAGAAGATACACGTCAAAGGTGTACAGCCAATTAAATTTGAACAATAAAACATTAAATTTTTTGTGATAAAGTTTTAAGAAATACGTATAAAAACGTAGAAATACTTATAGCTATATACGTACCTATTCTTATCGAACAATTGTTAATGTTATTGCTGGCGTATTTCGATTCTCGAGCTCAATGTCAAATGGTTCCAAACAACTTTATTGTCAAAACATGGTACAAAATAGGTTGCATACCCGAATTGAGTTTATTTGGATATTTCGTTATAATAACTTTCATAAGTTATACAAAAATTTCGACTTCTGTATGCCATTGCACACGGGTAACCAAAAATATTGTACAAAAAATTCCACTCCTCGCACATTTCAATAAATCTTTTATGGACGCTTAAAAACCAATTTAATATTTGGTTGTGTTTACCGGTGGCGGTAAAAAGTCTCCGAATACATAAAAATTTCTTGCTGCTGATAACAAACACTTCTGTACTTGTAGTAAAAAAAATGAAAACCTCAGCACAAATTGAAATTGCAGAGAAATCCAAAAAAAAAAACTAAGAAAAGTTTAGGTTCGGACAAGAATCTTGTTTGAAATAACTATATCTTCGATAGAAAGTACCACTTTAGCATTTGGATTCCTAACTTGACTTGAAAGTTGAGAGAGAGTATTGTTTTTGCTATCGACACGATCGACTTTCATTGATTCATTCGTCCTTCACACCTTGTTTTGCAACAATTAATGATCTACCCAAAAGTGGGTCACTGTGCAAATTTTGTGCCCCACTTGTGGTCTTCTTTGGGTTCTCCAGGGGTCGTTATCATGACAGCCCAAACAAAACCACACTGAGAAACATCTATATATATACTATTCGATATGTATAATATTTTTTTTATCAAAATCTTGAAATATTATTCCAAAACCAAAGCAAATTGAGATGGAAATACGGCACTGGCATTGTTAGTTGGTTGTTTCTCTTCGCAGTGAGATATTGAAAAGGCGAATCGGTTTTCAATCAAGTACCGCATAAATTTACGCCAATTATTTCAACGACCATAACAGAAACCCTGGGGAAAGACTACAAACCGCCACTTACAGCAATTAACACCGGGTTCAATTGGATCGGCGTCACGCGAATGTGGATCGCTTGGGTGGAGGGGTTTTTTGGGGGCGGTGGGAGTGCCCGGATTGGGTGGCGGGTCGAGTGGGCTGTGGGGTGTGGGGTGGCAGGTGACGTTCCCGATAGATGTGCATGTCATTTTGTTGAGGCCGTGTCGAGTCATTTGCACCGAATAGTTATAAATAAAAAAGTTATGATGATGTCGATCGTTTGTGTAACTGTGGGTTCCACTCTGTGGCTTTTCCATAACAATTTTACCCCTTAACGATTTTTATTCTGCTACAATCTATACTACAAATTGAAGATAACCCAAGCCTACGAACACTTATTAAAAATTTATACATTATTTTTCTGTCGAACTTGGTCGCTTTTATAGTATAATGTAATATTATTATAATAATACTTTGTTTTTCACACTGTACATAAATGTGCTTGATGTTTTGAACATATGTTTCACTTTGTGAAGCATGGCAAGTGCGCAGGCTAACGAAGCAAAGCGAAAGTCTCACGGGTGAGTGGTGTCGAACCCCTGGCGAAAGTGCTTGAATACCATTTTTCTGGATAACAAAAATAACATTGTGTGTGAAGCTGACCGCAAAGAATTCGGCACACTATTTAATTGTAACTTATCATTTCCTTTACATTAGTTCCAAATCAGATTGTAAAATAAGTATACGACTTATTTTACAAATCATAAAATCCATAGGACTTTATATTTGACTCATGGCTTTTGTTTTAACAAATGTACAACTTTGGTTCATATGCATATATACAGAGCCAAGTTTTCAGGCCTAAATCCGATTGTAACATAAGTATTAAACTTGTTTTACAAATCATTGTGCTTTCAATATTTAAATAATAAATCTTATAGTAAGGAAACTATCAGATAGAGTCCGGACAGAATCGGTTTAATTTAGCTTATGTCTTGTCTGTAATTGAATTTATAACCTTGATGCCTATGGATATCTACAGATAGCCACATTTACAAACCATTTACATTAGTTCCAAATCAGATTGCAATATGAGTATTAAACTAGCAAACAACCTTAGGATGAAATGAGGTCACAATCAGATTGTTTTATCGTATGCCTAATGTTGTTTCATATGTTATATCCTCGTTGGGCGATGCATACCAATTGTAAGCCAATCAATCACGACCAACACTCGGTCAGTCCAAAGTGGTAAGCAGTTTTGCTCGGCAGTTTGCTGTAGCTAGGGCAATTGCAATCGATATAGCTTGTTTAAGGGTATGCATGTGCCTCCCAGCCGCCCCCTGAGTCCCCTGAAACCCCTGAAACCCCGAAGATCTAAAAACCAACTCACCCACAAACCGCCCACCGCTGACCGCATCTTGTAATTGTTGTTGTAATTGCAATGGGGCTGTCGACAATCGTCTTTGATGTGCCATTGTGGTATTCGTACACGTACATATGTGCATTGTACATATGCCAGCACATGTGAGAATGGAAATAGAAAATCAATATCGAGGGGGGCTTCAAATAACAGCTGGCTTAATTGCAACACAAGCTAATGGGCACGCAAATGAGCACGAAATGTGGTTGTAGCCCTACGAATGTCCTGGCGAAGGTCCAACATGCCAGGATATCCAGTTGACTTGGGCGACATGCTGAGGTTTGATTGCAAGACATTGCTTATGACTTTGAGCCGTTCAAATCATTTGGGTATTTCACTTGAAATCTGACCATTTGGGTAAAAATTGTTTGTTTAAAGCCCAAATGGTCGTTGGCAAGTTTACCCTTCTAGGAATCGTGACAGCGACTCCCCAAAGACTTTATAACAACAGTGGAATTTTTATCGTTATATCTTCCAACAGAAGATCAGAAAGCGTTCAGAATTTGATACTGAGGACGATAGATTCATTTAAAAAATATTCTTCCACAAGGAATACAAATTCGCACTCTATTTCACCGACCCAACCAGCTATAGTCCCCTTAATATAAAGGAATTTTTAGTAAATCTAAGCGTAGTTTTTACTTTAAAAGTTCTAACAGACAGTTCTGACCTATCCGCCTGCTCTTCTCATTCACAGCAAAACGGGATACATACGAGATTCTAGACACAAAGCTCCCGGTCCTTGATACATATGGGGTGGTGCCACTTCCAACGGATCAGCTGCACCGCCAGAGGCGGGCCCTTGCGGTGGATGCGAAGGCGGTGGAGACTAAGGGCGAGCCCGTCAATGCCACTGCGGAAGCGGGAGCGGCAGTCGGAGCTGCAGCTGGAGCCGGAGGTGCGACTGCTATGACCATGGTGACCACCGTGGACAACAAGACAGCAGTCGGCGGCAGTGTGTCCTACAATGTGCACAAGGTCGGAGTCAATGGCACCGGACAGCGCAAGACATACAGCGACGTGGTCGCAACTCCGTCCGCCATTTCCAACATTACTACCAACCCAATCAATGTGGCCAACAAGAAGCAGACCCTGTTGGCCCAGTCAAGCTATCCAAAGAAGGTGGCACCATCCGCCGTCGTAGCCACCAGCAGCACGGATAGCGCGGCGGCGGACATTGACGTGGATGTGGCCAAAGTAGATGTTCCCGAGGACGAGATCTACAAGGCGGAGAAGAACGCGTCGGTGGTGCGCAGCGAGGATACCCACGAATACTACAAGAGCGTGCTCTATGTCAGCGACGAGGAGATGGCTTCGCTGTGGGAGGAACTGAAGAAGACGCCCAAGAACGATATGCTCTCTTCGTCCCATCGACGGGCCATGACCGTGGAGCTCAAGTTCGATTTTCCCTTCTACGGCCACTTTGTGCGCAATATCACGGTGGCCACCGGCGGATTCCTGTACACCGGCGAGTACGTTCACTCCTGGCTGGCAGCCACCCAGTACATCGCCCCACTGATGGCCAACTTCGACACGAGCATGTCCAACGACTCGTTTGTCCGAGTCCAGGACAACGGTGAGTTCACGCTTCCTGCATTCTCATGATAATAGTATAAGTTATTGTTTCAAAGTCGAAATTCACAAGCGAAACCATGCAAAAATTTAAATATAGGTTCTATTGCTTTGAAACCCATAACAAATTTAATCAAATGTACTTCCCAGTAAGTCACTACAATTTTTATATTTCATTTTAATTTTTATTAGAATTTGTCATTGGGAAAAACCTGACTTCTTTAGGAGATTAAAGCGTTGCTATCGCTTTGTTGTGCTTGCACTCAGTATTTATTATATTTGTAGAATATGCGTATTTCCATGTCAATTTAAAAACGAACGGTATCGAAAGTTCGTTAAGCGCGAGGTTTTTGTACAAAATTTCATTGTTCTGACGTCTGAATTTCTAAACCACCCGGGTAACTCAAATATATTGATTATATTTTATATTTAAGTACAAATGCTGCTTATTTTAAGAATGTTCGTTTAAATTGTTTGTTCTAAAACAAGTAAATATTAAAAAAGTGTAGGGGAGGCGTTGAACAAGTACGCGTGATCTAGTTATACCCGTTACTCGTAGAGTAAAAGGGTATACTAGATTCGTCGGAAAGTATGTAACAGGCAGAAGGAAGCGTTTCCGACCCCACAAAGTATATATATTCTTGATCAGGATCACTAGCCGAGTCGATCTAGCCATGTCCGTCTGTCCGTCTGTCCGTCTGTCCGTCTGTCTGTCCGGATGAACGCTGAGATCTCGGAAACTATGAGAGCTAGGCTATTGAGATTTGGCGAGCAGATTCCTGAGCTTCTTACGCAGCGCAAGTTTGTTTCAGTACAGTGCCACGCCCACTCTAACGCCCACAAACCGCCCAAAACTGTGGCTCCTACAGTTTTAGTGCTAGAGTAAAAATTTTAACTGAAATGTTTTGTTCTTATCAATACCTATCGATTGACCCAAAAAAAAGTTTGCCACGCCCACTTTTACGCCCACAAACCGCGAAAACCTGTGACGCCCACAATTTTCATGCTAGATAAAAAATTTTAACTGAAATGTATTGGTCTCGTCAATACCTATCGATTGATCCAAAAAAAAATTTGCCACACCCACTCTAACGCCCATAACGCTTAAATCTGTATACCGCCGGTAGGTGGCGCATTTTAATCTCGCTTTGCTGCTTGCATATCTCCATTTAGCTGAGTAACGGGTATCTGATAGTCGAGGTACTCGACTATAGCGTTCTTCCTTGTTTTCATTTAGTAAAGCTATTATTTCTAAAGTAAACAACATAGTGCTAATAGAAGAACAAGGCATACAACTACAGAAATAAGAGATACATATATAATTTCGTTTTACCGATAAGACAGCTGTTCTTTCCTCTCAATCTCACTAGAAAGCTAAATTCTTTTCAAATTAAACAACACCCAAATTGATCTGCTAAAGCTGTTAAATAATTGTTATTTTTTGCATGTAGTTGGGTAGCTAATATTATATTATCATGTCCAAATTGTAATGGAAAACATGACCTTTTCAGGGACCGCCTTCACCGCCGTGTGGGAGAATGTGACGCTGCAGGATAAGCCGGATTTCGGCAAGTTTACGTTCAGCGTGACACTGCACCAGAGCGGCGACGTCGTCTTCGCCTACTGGCAGGTGCCCACGCATATTAACTCTATTCAGGACAAGGAGCATCCGGTCAAGGTGGGCCTCTCCGACGCCTATATCATTGACAAGCAGCTTTACTGTGAGTATTCGTTATATGGTTGTTGTGCCTCAAAATCTCATCTATATCCCATTGCCAGTTGTTCGCCGAAAGACAATCTACGAGTACCACCGAGTCACCTTCCAGCAGCATGAGATCATCAACAACACCATCATCAAGCTGACGGCCCAGCCCACCTGTCTTGGCTACAGTGACTGTAATGCGTGCATCAACCACAATACTACGTTTACGGTGAGTACGGAGCTCTCAACTCCGGCCCGAGATGGGTTCACCAGCTAATTCCGTTTCCAATTTCGATCTTGCAGTGCCTCTGGTGCTCGGCACTGAATCGCTGCTCCACTGGCACCGACCGCAAGAAGCATGAGTGGATCCAAAAGGGTAAGCTGCTCAGCTGTGAATCTACTTATCTGCGGATCTAACTCTATGATCTGATTCCAGGATGTGAGACTGCCGCCATCCGTGTGAACAGTTCGTGTCCGGCGCTCGGCGAGAAGGGAAATAATGCAGCCCAAATGAAGGACGGATCCGCCAACAGTGGTGCGGGCAGTGCGAGTAACCCCACGACGGCGCCCACCGGCTCCTCCACACCGGTGACGGAGCCCACCGTTATTAGTACGCGGGCACCGCATGCCACCGCCCAGTCGAAGCCGGAGATGGAGGCCGCCAGTGGCGTCCATATGGACGGCAAAATCGGAACAGCCGATCTTTCGCATGCGGAGGCGGAAAACAAGAGCGTGGGCGTAGCCTTTGGCTTCATGGTGCCCATCTGCCTGGTGTTCGCCGTGACGCTGTGGCTCTTCTACGCGTACCGCAATCCGCACACCAAGAGCGGCCAGCTGCTCATCCAGGTGAGTCCTTCTCTCAGGTCGTTTATGCCATGCTCTTCACGGATACTCAATTGTTATCTTGTGCCTTTCTCCCAATTACATGCAGTCCAAGCATTTACACCAGGTTTGTCGATCCAGAGTGAACAATTGTCAGCATGTTACTTGAATTTATATGTTTTAAATGGAATATTTCATATTTTTGCTTAGATTAATTTAATATTATTTCCGTAAATACAAAATATTAATTTGGATTTTAAAAATACTAGTTCGTTTAGGAATTTGAGGAAGCAGTTAACATCCAATTTAATTTTATAGATTTATTTATTCACTGGTTGCAAAATATAGATATAGTTTTATTGAATACCAGTAAAAGGACTTTAAACTTAAAATGGTTTTGTATGTAACATAATAGTCGCTTGATATCCTTATTTTATTAGTTTCAATATTATATTTTTTAAAGACAAAATATTAAATAGATTTCTTTCATTAGGGATTTAAGAATCAGTTTATGTCAAATTTAATGTTATAGATGTATTCTCTGGTTGCAAACTATTAGTTTTATTTTCTTTAAATACTAGTAATTAATATATGTACAAATGTGACTGTTGAACCCTACTAATCTCTACTTTCTCCACAGTTCCGTCCCAGCCAGTGGTCATGGAGGCGTGGCGAGGCCCGCTACACGGCGGCCACGATACACATGTAGGGGGTGATCGCCGGAGACGTAGAGGGGTACAGAGATCGCGAGACGTGGGAGGGAGCTGCAGCTATACCGACGGAGAACCAACCAACCTAACCCCAACCCTGATCCCTGATGGAGCAGTGTCGTGAACTGGGAACTGATTTTTACAACACGAACTACACACCAAGGAACCGAGGAAAGTGCCAAGAGCATTCCTGTCTTTTTAATTCAATTTTAACACGTTTGTAATGTGAAGTTCTATGTCCATTGTTCACAAGTCAGATGATAGATTTTGAACTGATTGTTGAGATTTAGCTCAGAACGCTGCCGAAGATGAAACTAAAAGCAATCTGAATACATATATATATATATTTAGTAGTTCCTGAGTCCCAGTCCCCCGAAACCAACTGCTCAAAACCATAATATAAAGCAAAAGAGAAGAAACAAGACAAAAAAGACGACTGGCAACAGCATGAAGTGATCCTGTTAATGTATCTTTTTTACCTTTTTACCGTATCCGTATCCGTAACCGTACCGCCTGCCCCAAGGAAAAACAGCATACCCCCGAAGACAACTATGTATATTGTATAACTCTCAGACCAACGGCTCCCACCAGGCCACGCACACATACCTTACACCTTACACCATAATATACCCTATACCTAATACCCAAAGCACCTTTAACACACACACACACACACAACACACCACTGACACAGGGCGAAGTGCTTTCAATTGTTTCATAGTTCAATTTTTTTGTTTAGGGTTTTTTGTATCTTACTCTGTAATTCTGTACTCCGTACTCTGTACTCTACCAACGAGCCTGAAAAAATGAAGACCGAGGAAGGGCTGTATATTTTTTGTGTGCGTGCGCGTTTTGCTGGACTCTTCGCCAAAAGTTCTTCCTCATTCTGTGTAATTTTTTTTGTTCGTTTGTTTTATTTTAAGTGTGTGTAGCTTGGGAAGCAATTACGGGATAAATGTATTACTGTGAACACTCGGCGCAGTTTTTCATACTGTATTATACGCGATTTGTATGAAAGTTTTATGTGTGTATATGCGTGCACGGAAATCACATTTGTTTTTTACGAGCACGCATCGCCCCTATTCTATATATACAGATATTCTTTATATATATATGCATGGAGTACACATGGATATATCCAAGACAACCTCTTCTTTTTGTTAGTATTTTTTTCTATTAATTAATATTACAAATGAAAATGAAAACCAAGAAAATAAACTTATATATACATAAAAGAATATAAAAATTATAACTGAAAGCGGTGTGCAAAGCTAAACTAAATACATAATTAACTAAGTAAGGGAGATTGGAACAAGGAGTGGAGATTTAAACATGTAATATCAATAACAGATTTAACAGAACCGCATTAAAACCCCAAGCATGCAAGCGACAACAACTAAGAAAATTGTATAACAATGTATTTTGATAAAGAAATTAAACTTGTATTTTAAGCTCTTCTTATGTATACATGATAATTTAAATAAAAAAAACACTCGAAAATGAACCCAGCTTGGCTTTGTAATGGGGAACTGCTAATCAATCCATCTATGACATTAGAGGGTTCTCTTTTTAGCTACCCCCAAGTCAAATATTTAAGGCTAGTTTCTCGAGTCCCTAAAAAGTGCCTGATAGCTAACTGTCCGAAAAAGTTGCAGATAAAGTTGTAAAAGCAAAATGGTTTTCTTGACTTCTTTAATTTATCTGAATGAGAAACAATGACAGAGTGCTGTTAGTCACAAAATTGAGCTGTAAAGTGCCTTGCCTTGATTAAGGTTTAAGCTGTTTAGGATTTAATAATGTTTCAGATTAAAAATTGCATCTTAATAGGCTTTGTAAAATCAGCTGTGAATTTATCGAGCCGAAAAATACTTAGTAGGGATTCTAAGCAGTCCCTGTCTCAAGAAAACAAAATTTCCTTTACAGGGACTTTTTCTCTGTTAGAAAAACGTTAACCGTCACTCGAGAAATCGGTCATTATTTTCTAAAACTATCCCACATCATATTTTATTTCAGAAGCGGATGTATTTTACTCCTCGAACTAGGGATGCAAAAACATCGATGTCACTATCGATACTATCGATGTTTTTTAAAACAGCGATGTATCGATGCTTTTTTTCGAACATCGATGTTATCACTAAGAGATACACACGCAAAGCAAGTGGTACGTAAATTGGGAAAAAGTGCACATTTTTCCATTTTATTAAGTATTGTTACAGTTTGATACAGGTAAAACATATTAGGGCGGTTCCTCTCGGCACAATGGACAGGTTTCTGCACATAACAAGTAAGTTCCAGTCGCAGCAGTTGTTATTTCATAATTTTAACACTGTATTGCGTTTTAGACCACGTGTCTGCTGCTTCGTCGTCTGCTCCAACGTCCAACGTACAGAAAAACCAGTGGATTATTAGTTAAGATATAGATATCGATTAGATAAGTAAGATAAGTAAGAACTGAACTGAACTGAACTGAACTGAACTGAAGTGAACTGAACTGAAATAATGTGATTCCATTTTTCTTTATGATTTCGTTAAAATATGTATTAAGATTATGCTTTTTTATTTGTTTCTGAAAATATTGTTGTTGTTTTGTTTGAATAAATATAAGTTTATAATAAGTTTCATAAAAACAATATTTTAATTAATATTTGGAGGGTTTTATGGTATATATTCATAAATTGAAGAAAATTTCGATGTTTTTAGCGAAATTTCGAGGTTTTAGCAAAATTTCGATGTTTTCGCGAAATTTCGATGTTTTAGCGATATATCGATGCTTACAAACATCGATGTTGAAAACATCGATGTACTCACTATCGATGTTTTTGCATCCCTACCTCGAACTAAACTGTTGCCTACTTTGAAATTTATTTGTATAAAGGGGGCACCACTCAGAATTCGCTCTATCCGTTCTAACCGAGCGATCATCGAAGTCCCGTTCCCGGACAGATGCAGAAGCATCCCCAAAAGAACTGGACAAATCCTCACGCTGCCGGACAGGACGATTCAACTCATCAACGCGGGTGCACTTGGCTTTCAGCTAGTGTGAAAGTATGTGAAGACTGACTACAGAAATGATCCTGTGAAGTATAGTCTTAAATTTTCAGTGCCCAGCCATGGGAACTCGGCGCGCTGCCGGCTAGAACCCATTGGGAATTATAGGCGGGCGCATACAACCGACGAAAATAGAACAGAATGCGTGCTGATAACACATTTTTGGTTTAACCACCCTCATTTTCGTTCGACTTTGGACGAACGGGAATGTGTCAGCGTAATGTACGTGGAGTATTGAGTTCAAATCCTGCAGTTGTTTAAATTTTTTTTTCTTTAACTTTTTGAAAATAAATAGCAATAAGGAAAGCAAATCTCAAACTTGTGAACCTTAGATTGGAAATGCATATATTCATAATCAAATATTAAAAATTAAATTCAAATCTTATGGACATGCCTTTTCTCAATTTTTTTCTTTTTTTAGCCTTATACAAATAAATAAAATATTTTTATTTTTAAGGAAAGCAAAAAAACTTTCGAACCTAAGATTGGAAATGCAGATATTCATAATGTAATATTGAAAATCAAATTCAAATCGTGTAGATATGCCTTTGCTTACATATTTTTCTTTTTTAGCCTTATAAAATAAATATATTTATATTTTTAAGGAAAGCAAAACAAAACTTGAAAACTTTAGATCAGAAATGCCTATATTCATAATCAAATGTAAAAATTAAATTCAAATCTTATGGATACTCTTCATAGAACTTTGATGATATATGAACCCCCCCCCCAGATTAAAACTAGTTAATTTCTTTGATTTAAATTTTTACAGTTTATTGTTAGTTTCGTTTTTTCCTATTTCTGTTGGTCTTTAACTTTATTGAATTTGTTAAGCTTGAGTTAATGATGCAAATAGCTCGTTTGTGTTAGTAATATGGCTAATTCGAACTTCCATCTAAACATTTACAGGTTTTCTATGTGGGCGGGACGTGGACTCTGTCGGAGGTTAGCTAAGTGAACGCTTCTGTTAAGGAGATTCAGATGCAGCTGGAACTGGAGCTGGAGTTGGAGCTCACATCTTCTGCTGGGCCAGTTCGTCGATGGTGCGGGCATTGGTGAGGGTCACCCAGAGTGGTGCCTGGATGTTGGCCAGCGAGTAGCTCTCGGCGGCGTCCAGGGAGTGCGATTTGCGCATGGCCGGCGACTGGGACTGGGAATCCCTGGTGCTACCACTTGGTCCCTCGGCTCCTCCTCCTTCTCCTCCTCCTCCTCCTCCTCGCCGGCGATCCCGCTTGGATTCGCGCTTGGTAAAGGCGACAGCTGCTTCGCCGCCACCGCCTCCACTGCTGGCAGCCCGGATCTCTTGGAGGCGACTGCGCGTCTTGGCCAGGCCAGCCGGATCGTCCCGCACACTGGCCGTCTTTCGCAGCTGCGGCGGTGGCACCACCAGCTGCGTGGCGGTCTTGGCCAGCGGCACCTTCACTTCCGGCTCCTGGTGGTGATCGGCGGCCTGACCCAGTTGCTGCTTGGCTAACTGTTAGCTCGAGGAGAAGGACATCTTGTAGGAGGTGGTCTCCATCGGCGACTCCGGGTTGAAGAACTCCGTCTGCGTCTGCTCCACGTCGCTGCATCGCTCCTCCAGCACAGTGTCCAGCTCCAGGGAGGTGAAGCCCTGGCTTAGGCTTCGTTCAGGACGTAGACTGATAGCTCGCGACGATCGGTAATCTGTGGATGGTAATGGGCACTTTAGTCAAGGTCCTTCGAGTCCTTGGAGTGTTATAGGGCGAGACAGATGGGCAGTGAGTGGTGGAGGATTTGCGGGTGGGGGGGTGGTAAATGTGTGGGTGGGACATCGAAGGTTGCACATTAAAAATGTAACGGATGTGCAGGTGTCACGCACCGAAAACGAGAATTTTGTGGGGTGTTGAAATGTGATTTACTTGCAGCGCACCTGATGGCGAGGGCCTCAAAAATATATCATTGTCAAACTAGCAAAAGCATTTTGTTCCCATAAATTTAATGTTGGTCATATGTTTAAAAAGTGTCATGAAGGCGAAACAAGCGAACAAAATAATTTCAGTAATAAGATTCTATGGTGAAGACTACGCGTGTTTCATGCTTATAAATTGGAAAAAATTAATTAACCAACAGAGTCCTTGCGAATTTAAGAACTTCCATTCTGCAGTGAATAAGCAAGTTAACTTTCCTCTTTTCCAGTGATTAACTTAATTTGATTTCAGCCTTGGAAAATGTAGAGCAAATATATAAGGACTCGGTAAAAAGTTTGTGTGCAAACAAGAGCTGGGAAATTGGTAGGGACAGAAAGAAAATAAAAAAACAAAACAGAAGCTGCGGTGATGCGTAATCGTTTTGCGAAAATGGTATGTACTATATGCCAAAAAACGCATGTCCCCATTTTGGGGGGTTTGGGTTTGTAGAATATACATATATGCGTGTTGTTTTTGGGGCCAAGAAGCGAAAACAGTCGAATAACAAGTGTAGTTGGCGGTTTCTGGGGTTTCTGGGGTTTTGTTTTTTGTTTTTTTTTTCGACCTGCGGTTATGTCGACCCCGTCACCACCACCTTGATCATCATCTCATCATCGCCGTGCGGAGCTGCACGGCGAATAAATGTCTCGGAAATCATATATGACTTCACTTTTATATTCAGGCGGGTATTACGAATTTATTACGAGGGCAGTGAAAATCCCCGCACACTCGAGTGGCATTAAAAAGTTTGCTAGAAAATATTTGTTCTGCAAGCCACACACCCTCGCAACGAAATTTATGTACTTTAACATACTTTATATGGGGCAAGGAATGCACCTTATAGGGAGGGTATTAGAAAAATGTGACTGCATTTATTTTTGGTGAATTTTGTGATAGAAAAGGAAAAGGATGTGTGTGCGCGCCTTTTTTTCAGAGTGCCTTTCTATCCGACCACCTGAAGTGGCAGCAGATTCACATTCACTCGACGCCCCGCGTTCTGAATATGAAATTTACAGTTATAAAAAATGTTTCTGCGTGTTCGTGCGTGCATAAAGCTCGGAAATTTTCGCTCGACAGCGTGGTTTAGTGGGCGTGGCAGGGGTTTGGGTTTGGGCTTGGGGTTGTTGTTGGGTCATCGTGTGTCGCAATTCTAAATAAGCGGGCTAGCTTAGCACGGTGGCTCCGTCTTTCCCCCCCTTTCCCCACTTTCCCCGCTTTCTTTTTTGTTTTTCCGCCCCCGTTCCTCCTCGCTTTCCCCCATTTGATTTTGTGATATGCAAACAGGGCTGCGAGCGCCCAAAGGTATGCTATGCAAATGCAAATGCAGCCAGGCTACTTCGCTTTCTCCCTCTCGCCCTCTCGCTTTCTCCTTGCGTGCGACACTTGTAAAGCAACTGTGTGTGCTCACACACAAGCACACACCCCACACACACACCCACGAGGGGCCACGTGTGGGTGCCTTACTTTCTCCCAGTCAAGTTGTACTTCTTTCACTCAACTCACGTTTCGCGTAGTTTGCTTTTAGGGGAAACGTGGCTTCCTTCCAGAATTCGAATAAATTGAATCTTTTTGTTGTCTCGATAAGAACTGCAATATTGTTGGGTTGCCTGTATATCTCCATAAATGTGGAATTCACGTGAGGGACTTGGAAAAATTAATACCAACAATCGAAAAGTCCATGATAATTTTGAATTTAAATTTTAAAAAATAATGAAGAAGCTCAGCAGGAAGAATTTTAAAACACATTTAAAGTGCCTAGGATCATTTTGGATTTTTAATTCTTACTAAGAAAAATAAAGTATCAAAGCACAGAAGTTTTCTTGTTAATCGAACTAAATAGTTTTGGGGAAAACGTGACTTTCATCCGGAAATCAAATAAATTAAATCGTTTTGTTGTCTCGATAAGGACTGTCATATTGCTGTAATGCTGTAATATTCAAACTAATGCAATAAAATTGTTTAGGATATATGTTAAAATTATTACAAGAATCCCTTATTTCTTTCATAATCACGAATAGTTCATCTATAAATGTTAAATTAAAAAAAGTAAGTGGCTTGCAATATAAGAAATAAATAAAAATGGTCAGAATAATTTTTAGAATTATAAGAACAATCCCTTAATAATCACATATAATTCGTCCATAAATGTGAAATTCATAGGAATAAGTAATTTTTCAAAAAATAAAAAAACAATTTTTGTAGTATTTGTAGAATTATTGGATTAGTCCTGAACTTCTTGAGTTTCTAAAACTTCTTCCATAAATTTTGAAAAAAAAAATGTTTATAACTTTTCGAATTATTTTAATTTACAAACAAATTAATGAAGAGTCTACGCACTTAACTTTACGTTTTCTTTTTGGAAAATGTTTTAATTTGATTTGGACATTTTCGAAATGTTTGAACCTTTTTGAAGTCCCCGATTTCTCCCAGTGTGGCCTCTGGCCACTGGCTAATGCATCTCGGGCTCTCGTTGAGGGGAATTTTGCTATTGATTCTGCACTGGCCCCTGGCCACTGACATTGGGCACTCAGTTGGTCGCAAAAGGTATATTTCGGACATGCGGGCTCTTAAAAAACAATGATTATGATGCTGATGATGTGTGGGGCTCTTTGTTATCCCTTTGTGAATTTTAACTTGCTTTTATGCAGGCAGGACAATAGACGACAGGTGTATTAATGACTACGGCATGGCACAGATTAAGAGGAAAAGTGAAAAAGAGATGGCGAGTGGAGTGTATCAGTGGAGAAATATGGGTGCTGAGGGTGCAAATATAGCGAGAATTTATGGTGAGATGGGGATGCAGGATGCAGGATGCTGGATGCTGGATGCTGGATGCAGGATGCGATGCATTCGACAGTCTATCGAACTCATTTGATCTGCAAGTGTGGCTGCAAAACCAGAGAGAAAGGAAAAGGAAACAGAGCAAAGAAACGTTCTTCGAACACACATTACACGACAACATTCAAACTCACTAAGCCTATGTATTGGACTAAATCTGACCAGGCTGACGGCATGGTCCTGCATGTCGTAGTTCCGCCTCCTGTCCCGCTCCCGGGCCAGCTTGGCCCTCCTCCGCAGGCAGCAGATCACGAGGAGCGCCAGGATGGGGAAGCCGAAGATGCACGAGACGATCGGGATGACGATCGATTCGGGTGAAACTGCAACGAGAAATTAATAAGAAGAACGGGAGGATTAGAAAATCACCATGGAACTCAATAACAACCGAAGTACCTCTCACCCTGAGAAGAATTAATAAGGTATAATGATAATTTTGGTGAAATTTAGTGTTAATTCTATCTAGATTGGGGGCGTATTACTTTGATACGTTTACCATCTTTCATTTTGCTCTCCTTTTCTATTTCGGAGAGTTTCGAATATTTCTGTCTCGCTTTTTCGCATGGTATTTTTGGGCTCTCTCTCGCCCTTTTCTCTCTTTTTCCGATTTGAGAGAATTTTCATAGAGAGAATTTCCTAGATATATCATTTCTTAATATTGAACTTAAATTATTCAAGGGTAAAAATAGTTCTTAATAATTGTATTATGCCAATATCTAATTGATCCATGTGTGTTTTTTTATGTTTATAGTGATTTGTAGGGGTTTTAACAGATTTCACCTGTATTTATAATCTATTTTACATAAATAAAGCTATCCACTCGAAACTAGAATCAATGTACAACGAACTCAATTTAGCTCCACACAGTAAAACTGTAGCATTTAAAAGTATATGGATATTAAAGATAGCTATTTTAAAGTAGTCTATTCAAAGGAAATTTTCCTTCTGAGCACTCAATTATATTTTACTTAAAACGTTTTTTAAAAAGCCTATCTAACTGCATAAATATGGGTACTTTTAAACAGTACTCTGCTTTTTTTTAAATCTAAATTTAAGACACCATGTAGAACACGACCGTAGCTACCATTTTGCTGGTATCATCGTACCTGACGCTATCTTACCTGTCCCATCTGTAGGCAAATATTTTGACCCAAAATTTATTGAGCATTTCCTTGCCGTTTTAAAATGCCCTTCTTCTTGTCCATGCCGGCCTTTTTGCATAGTCCACTTAATCGCTCTCGACATCGCAGAACCGTGCTCATTCGTGACCCCACCTTTTGCCCGACTTGACCCTTGACCCCCTTCGCATCTTTCGCCCCCGCTGTGACCTTGTCGAATCCCATTATGACCCCACAAAAAGCGCCCCTGCCAAATGATGCACGAATGTTAATCGCCGGACTCTCGTGGTCTGTCAACGCCCAAAATCGGAATTTTGGTTTGGGAACATATTTGCCTAATTGTTGTGGTTGTGGTCAGCCGCAGAAATGCCATCACCATCGCCATCATACCATCATACCATCTGCCCATCATCCGAGGGAAGATTATTTATTTATATGTTTATTTTATCACAATAACCAAGTGCGGAATGGGTGGTTTTATGGGCAACGCAAACTCATAATTCCGTAGCTCATCTCATCTCCGGTTCATTTGCATGGCCTCAAATTCGCCCGAAAGTAGGCAACATTTATCCGCACGGGATGGGGGGGATGGAAACTGGAAATTATATAGAAGGGGGGGGGGGGGGCCCTGGGCTCTGGAAGGATAATGGTTTGTGAGGGCACGATGGCGGGTTGTATGCCAAACGACTTTTCGGGGGCGCATTCCTTTTAAGCCATTTGCATTTTCCTCCGTTAACGTTTCGTTTGCCTGTTTAATTTCGGCTCTCAGTCATAAACTAAGTCGAGCAAAATCTGCATCTCCCCACCGCTCAGACCTCGGCGTCCCTTATTCCATTAGGTATAATTAGCAAAAACAAAAACATTTATTCCCCAAACATGTGGACACGAAACATTTTTCAACATGTTTCGCTCTTAAAAAGTTCTTAATATCATGTACATTTACTTTAAGAAACGGCGCTCTTGAAGGAACACGTACATTTTCGGGTCTTGAATTCTGTTCTGAGTGTAGATAAAAGATATAACAATTCGAGTTCATGAGATATTTAAAGTTATGCGATGTAAAACAGCACTTAAAAAGGTAATGGTGTACCACTATAGTGGTGGAAGATTGTAATTATTGGACTCAGTTTTATAAACTTATTTTAAGTGCTGCAAAATAAAACTAAGCTTAAATATGATATACATGAGCGGATCCACTGGAGACGGGGGTATTTGCGAGATAGATCCCCCCACTCGGGTTAAAAAGTAAAAAAAAAAGTAATACACACACAGAAAAAACTATCCAAGAACATTGTTCTTGAATTGAGAACATTGTTCTTGAATTGAGAACATTTTTCTTAAAAAGCGTGTAAGTACATTTTGCTATCAATATAAGAACGAAATACGAACGAGAAGAGAAAAGTTAAATTGAGTTTATTTAAAAACTTTTTGATAATTATACACTAAGGAGTAAGTTAATTGTTTATTTGTACATACATTGTACTTAAATACCGCCAATTCAACTTGATTCGATCGTAATAAAAACATTTTCAACTTAAAAATGTTATATTTTTAAGAACATTTTCAATTCAGATGAGAACGTCAGAATTTTCTCTGTGCATGAAATAAGTACTTTATTCCAAATTTTTGATTTCTAATCAACAAATGTTGTATATCCCCTTGCAACCAAATCCTGGATCCGCCACTGATACCTGATATATTTTTGAAAAATGTATATTTAACCCTAGCTTGCAAAGAGAATTTATAGGATTAAGCCCAGGCTTGCGTTGAATAATTTAAACCGAAGCACGCGGCGGTTTCCATTTGTCGTTTTACATATTTCGCCAGGATCTGCAGCCTGGCCTGATCCACCTGGGGAACTCCGACCACCATCCTACTCGCGACAGCAAAACCCAATCCCCTGGCCCGCCGACCTCATTTACCATTCTCAGCCACTCATAAGTCACATCCACCTCCCCATTCCACTCCCGCCTCCACCATCACCGAGCGTCCTTGCCAAAGGATGCTCTAATCTAAGCCACAAAAGCCATGGCCCAAATTTTGTTTGTCGAAAAAGTAGCATAAAGGAAACCAAATCGAATAGAAAGCGCCGAAATGGGAATGCTCTGAAAAGTTTTCAAAAACGCATTTCTTTTGTGTGATGGCTGAAAGGAACAAAGTTTCTAAACTATATTGGGTTGATTTTATAAAAGAGGCATGTACTTAAACAATTACTTTATGATGCAAGGGAAATAAATTATAATAAGTATATTAAAAGGAAGATCTAGCTGTCTGCGATTAAATGTGGAAGTCTGTGTATCTTGGCGATAATTTCAGAGTAAATATGAAACTGTGTAGCCTTAAAGCAGCTTTCAGCTTAACACGAAGATGAGAAAATGAGCCTAACGATGATGAATTATTATTTTTGAATTCATAAAAATATGTTAGCAATTTATATACATAAAACTCTTATTATAAATTGAGGAATCAACGCAGAGCTTAAACTTTACAGCCGCCAAATGTTTTTCCTAATATTCTAACTATAGATAAAGTTTTTGCTTAGAGCGAATTTCGCCACTAGTAATAATGTATTTTTCAATAATAATTTTTGAAACAATATAAAAGCTGGGAAAATAAAATGGAATATTATCAGAACTTATTCAAGACATAAAAATGGGATAAATTCCGGTTGAATGGTGTTTACTTTATCGACTCGGGGCAGCACTCCTTTAAACTTGGATAACCCCGCCCCCAGGGTAAATGGAGCACTCGATGTTGGCCTGACATTATTCGATTAAATCCGAGTTCGATCAGGGGCGCAGTCGGGAAATGTTTGCTGCGGCGTTATCAGCGCCTCAGCTGGGTTTACTTTACTCAACTTGTACTCTGTCACCGGGACGAGCTGCTCCTCATGGAAATGGACCCGGCTTCTGGACAGGACCCTTCTGCTCCTCCAGCTCTCGGGAACCTGCGCCACTGAATCCAATTAACGCCTTCAAAGTGACAGTTCAAATTTACACAAATTGATGGCGCGGAGAGGGAGTCCTGAGTCCTGAGTCCTGAGTCTCGAGTCCTTTAGTCCTTAGTTCACTTTAGTTTGCTGCCACCAAGGAATCTTGAAGTCGCGGAGGGCGAAAAGCAGCAGATGCTGCTGGAGAAGGAGCCGCCATTCAAGCCGAGTCATCAGGAATCGTTTGATGCCAGAAATTTTCAATAAATACAATAAAAATAATGCCTCTGCCCCACTCAGACAGACGCGTCCTTTGAATGGAAATTAAATGTTTGCATATTTGACGTCGACGGTGGAATGCGCTACAAACAAAGCCCATCGAATGGCAGAGAGGCAATATTCGAATGTGCGCAGTATATGTATACAAATAGTACACCAGGAAAAATCGGGGACTATTTCCCAGATAAGTCGTATGAAAAAAATTAATATACACACTTTGTATATTTTCTTGGAATTAAAATAATGAAATTTAATCTATATACTGAATATCTGTACAACGAGAAAAAAGAATAGAAAAATGAAAAAATCATTTTTTATGATTTAAGAACATTTTGCTCTTAATTTTGATGCATACACAATTTATAATTTTTCGGGATGTGTCTATAAATACTAAATAAATTGATCATGATCATGTCTTCCCACAATGGCTGTAATCTAATTACTAAATATCTGTGCACCCAAAAAAAAAGAACGGAGAAATGAAAAATTCATTTTTCATGATTTAAGAACAATCCGTTCTCAATTTTGATGTATACACAATTTATGGGTGTTACGCTTCGGAATAAAATCATAAACAATATTTTTAACTTTTAACGCATTTAGGCTTGGTTTTCAAACATTTCTAATAGTTATTTTTCTGGGTGCCAATAAGTATTGAACAAATGTATATTGTTTTTTATTCCCACAATGGACTAAATCTAAATACTATATATCTGCACACCCAGAAAAAATAAAAACAAAATGAAAAAAGTATTTATCATCATTCAAGAACAATCCGTTCTCATTTTTGATGTATACTCAACTTATGGTTGTGAACGCTGTCGAATAAAAGTAAACAACGTCTTAAGCTTTTTACCCCATCTGGGCTTGGTTCTTGAACATATATTATGGTTATTTTTCTGGGTGTGCCAATAAGTATTAAATAAATTCATGTTATTTCCCATTTGATCTTCCCAAATTGGCAGTTCTGTGGGCTATTTTCACCCTTTAATATCGA